CAGGATAGGCAATGTCTGTGGATGATCAAAGTGTCGGACTAAAACATGTTGGCAAATCTGCTGTATTGTAAAAGGTTTTAAATGTCATCCATGCGTGTTTAAGTAATTTAGTGATCTCTCCCAGGCCCTATTCGAACACTTACATTTAGCTGTAAGATTCTGTGCAATACTCAGTCCACAAGCCTACGTCATCCATCCTCCCACACAACATTTCTTTATAAATATACAAAAGCATAATACAAAACAATACACTACAACCTGTTGTGATGTGCAGTAGTTTCATAAGCGGGATGCACGCTGATTGTGTTGTGGTAGGGCTCTGAAGGGAGAGTGGCATAGCATGGAGAGCGAAGGGAGGTGGGACTCACAGCGTCAAAAACAAAACTTATTGAACGTGTTAATATGTTGTTCTCTACAAATATAGCATTTTCAAAAGAATAGGTTAAAACAGAAATATACTTCTCTATTAGCAGTTAACACCTCATAGAAGTGTACGGTAATACCTCCTCTACAAACCTCATCACAAAACAAAAACAACGCATGAATATGACATCTTTAGCTTCCTGCCTTTTCCTAAGTGTGTGAACATGCTGTTTCTACTCCTAATCCTTTAAATTACTTCAGATTTGTTTTTGTTGTGGTCAAATCAAGATTCCTTTTAACTTGTCTGTGTATTGTCCAAACCACAGTGTCTTCCTCCCTGTACACCACAGCTGTATTTATGTGTTTAGAAGCAATAATGTGTCTTATTTGTTGTTATATGAATGTAACGGTGTGTTAGTTCTTCAGTAATGATCGGTTTTTGATGAGTGGGGAATTCCAGACTGCAGTTTTAATCCTACGGCTCACGTTTCCGCCGCCACTCCCTCCTCCCGCCACCACTCCCTCCTCCCGCCCAAAGTGTAGCTAACACAAATTCTTATTATAACCTTAATTTTTCATCTATTTCTTTTAGTGTTGTTAAAAGTACTGAAAATCCAATAATAAAACTGGCATCAAAACTTACTAAGTACTAGTTTGAGCAGGTATCGATAATAAAAAATTCTAATTCAGGACAAAAAAAACTTGTGTAAAGTTTGTACAGTACAGTCTCTGAATGGATGATTGAATATTAGAAGTAGTTGTAGTAGAAGACTTATTAAGATTTATTTATTTGCACGTAATCTTCCACAGTATGATGTTAAATATATCTGCCTTGCATTTATTTAATCACATGTGTGTTATAGCTCAAAAAAGCCTTGAAAAAATTGAATTCATACAACATTCAGGCTTGCTTCTTCATAGATCTGACCAGTGACTTATCTCCATTGTTATAATTGAGTTTATTTCCATACTGTGTGGAATATTCAAAACAAAACAATAACATCTCCATAAAATAAGCAGGTGGCAGACCATCCACTAGAAAAGTTACACAGTGCACCTTTAATGGTAAAACTATAAAGAATAAAGTAATTTATTATCGTGGTAACAGAATCTGCATTGTGTATCGAGATTGACTTGGAAATTTTAGTAACGATTCATGACAACGCTATTATATCTCCAGTTGGTTAGCTTGGGATCAGTTAGGGCACGTCATATACCCTCTCTCCCTCCCCTCGCTCTTCCCCCTCAGACCTGATTTTCTGTCTGTCTGGTGGAAAAGTGGGCCGTAGGTGAGGAGAACAGCGACACAGTCAGAGGAGCCCAGACCAGAAACACCAGAGGCACATTTCTCCAGCTCATTGACCTCTCTTAAGTGGATTACACGCCCAGCTGGTGCAGAGGAGAGAGGCACTGCCAGCTCCGTACTAACTCGACATCTGTGGGGCTAGAGGAGAAAATGAGTTACAAGTGATGTCACGAAAATTTCAAACTTGATTTTAGTATTAAGGAATAGACTCGATACTGATTCCGATATCACAGTGATAGTAAAAACACTCTTTATTTAGACAGTAGAATGTAATTTTCAGCATTAGCTTACAATACTTTATTTTATATTACTATGTTGTCTTATATCTGTGTAATCCCTCAGTCATCCAGGTAGGTTCCATAATGGTTCATGGTGCTCTTATACTTGTTCTGATGCAGCTCAAGATCAGTCTAAAGCTATTCAGGAAAGGTTCATTTCTGTCTTGTGACTTTTTTAGTTTCGATACCTGCTCAACTGAGTATCTATTTCGATACAACAGTAGTTTTAGTATCGATTAGTATCTGATTTCGATACTTTTGACAATCCTACTGTGCATTAAAACTACTATATACTACAATAACAAAAATATGAATGTGTATGTGTGTGTGTGTCATTAATGGAGTGAATGAATAATGCACAAAATTGTAAAGCGTAATTTAGTATTAGTACTCTTAATATTTTTCTATTAATTACAACTTTTTTTTTTTCCTTTGGCAGGCAACATGACTTTATAGTGGGTAAGACATTAAAATGAAGATGGTGATGTTTAATCGATAAATAGATGAATAGAGAGAGAGAGAGAGAGAGATGGAGTGGTAGATAGAGATAGATAGGGGCTGCAGTCCTGGGCGTGGGAGAGAGCAGTGCATTGAGTTGAAGCAGACCAGAATAATGTGCAGATCCACCACTTATAAAAACACAAGCATTAGCCTAGCCATGTGTGTTAGCCTAGCCGTGTGCAGGCCTATTAACAACTGCAAAGAGGAATTACAGAAATGTCACATAGTGCCCTTTTAAGTGCAATTACTTTCTCATTTGAAGAAATATTTATTAAAGAACCTGTGAAAGTTTGTACGGTAGTCTTTGAAAGGATGACTGAATATTAGAAGTAGTAGTAGTAGTATTCGTAGTAGTAGTAGTAGCAGCAGTAGTAGCAGTAGTACTAGAAAATAATTGAGCTGATACTCAATTCATTGTATTATAGTGCTCAGATTTTAACTTTCAACTTAGCAGGGTTGTCAAAAGTATTGTAAATCAAATCCCAATAAATACTAAAACTAGTATCAAAACTAGACTCATTTGATCAAGTATTGACTCTAAAAAGGTCACATTCAATGAACTTTTCCTGAATACAGTAGCTTTATTTGAATGATCTTAACCGCATAGATGGACTAGTATACGCACATGGACCACTATGGAACATACTTGGACAACTGAGGGATTACACAGATATAAGACTACATGGTAATATAAAAGAAAGTACTACGGTTTAATGTTGAAAATAACATTCAAATAGCATTGTCTAAAAAGTGTTTTTATTATTATTGTCCTATCAGCATCGGTATTTACCTTAAAGGCCCATCTCCTGTTTCCAGAAAGTATCACTGAAAATGTGTTGAGATGGATTTGTCTGTCTGTGGCTAACACCTGGTTTATAACTGTCTATATACTTCCTCTTCACACAGAGGAATGTACCAAATGCAATCTAGTTTACACCTGTTTCTATTTATATGAGCAAAATCAGTCTGTGTGCACCGTTTACAATCATGCCCAATTATAGGCCTGTCACAACAATTACTATATCAAGTTATTGTTCAGTATATCATAGCAATAACAAACATTTTTAGTATTTACTGTCTGCATGTCGTCTTTGAACTTGTGGGGACCTGATTTGATCTGAGTTGTGGAGAGTCACATTAGTAAGGCCTAACTTGTTTCATTTAGCTAATTATTTTTTGCAGTTCACGTTTTCAAAAATGCTGTAACTTCAGATTTGAATCAGGTTTTGTGTCTGTGAAAAAAAGTAGTTTCAGTATCATTGTTTGTTGTGATGTCTTCTGTAGAGAACAGTGTTGCCAATAGGCCTACAATTCACAAACTAGTCACAAAACTAAACTTCTAACTTAATACCTAGGAATACTCGATACTCAATACCAGTTTCGATACTGCATTGATAATTAAGCACACTCATTCTTTAGACCACAGAATGTGATACCACAATTTAAAAAAAACACTCTTTATTTAGACAATAGAATACAATTTTCAACCTTAAATCATAGTACTTCCTTTTATATATCCATGTGGTCTTATATTTGTGTAATCCTTCAGTCATTCAAGTAGGTCCATAGTGGTCCAAGGGCGTAAACTAGTCTATGTGCTCTTATACTTGTTCTGATACAGTTCAAGATTATTCTAAATATTCAGAAAATGTTAATTTCTGCCCTGTGAATGTGACTTTCTAGTATCAATAGTTGCTCAAATGAGTATCTAATTTAAATACTAGTTTTAGTATTGATTAGTATGCGCAATTTTTAGATAATTTAGACAACCCTAGTAGAGAAATATATCCAACTTCAAAAACATTTATTGTGACAGACCTCCCAGAGTTCATTGTTGCCTGGTTTAACTGAGAATCAACATCAGAAAAATACATGGCATCTTTTATAAACCAGTGAGCTTATTTTAGACAGTGAAAAACGGTTAAAAAGTGGAAATGTTGGGAAAATTTAATATTTACTTTGCCCACCAGATGGCAGCAAAGACACAAATGACAGTTAGCAACAATTAGCAAGTCTCTACAAGCACTAGCACTTTTAAAGTTTGTGCATTTATCGTTTAAGTTTTTTTTTTTTTTTTTTTTTTTTTTTCAGGTGAGCAAATAACTATTCTGTAATTTCAAATCGCTCTGAGGTGTACATTTTGTCAGTTATTATTAATTTAACTGCTAAAATCTGATAACGCTCATTTAGCATGCCGAGCTAATGTTCCATGTTGTATGGATTATCAAAGGCCTAGATAATTTAGTAAACGACCACGTAACATGTTAATACGGTGGAGGGACTATGTCTCTCGGCTGGCCTGGGAACACCTCGGGGTCCCCCCGGAGGAGCTGGAGGACGTGTCTGGGGTGCAGGAAGTCTGGGAGTCCCTGCTTAGGTTGCTGCCCCCGCGACCCGGCCCCGGATAAGCGGACGAAAATGGATGGATGGATGTTTATTTTGAATATCTAATAACACACACAGAATTTCTCAACTGAAAGAAATGTCTGTTACTTACCATTGTGATTTATTTTTTAATTAATGTAATATGTTTTTTGTTTCTTGTCTTACAGGCTTGTAATGGATGTGTGGGATCCAAATGTGACTGCAGCGGAGTGAAAGGAGCCAAGGTACAGACAAACTGACTGAAATTATTTTAAAATGTTTCCTTGTTTTGCAAAGTCAGTGATATGACTAATGTGTATTGTTTTTTATACAAGTATCAGAAAAGGGAATTAGAACATGTAGGACATAAATTATTTTCATATATCATAGAAGTTGCAGTTGCATACTTGTAGATATATGCTCTTAAACTCACATAGAGGTAAAAGTATATTGTTTGAAAACCACTCAGAAGTCCAATTTTATCAAACAAGTTACTCAACTAAATGTAGTTAGAAGTTAGAAAATTTAACAAATAATAAACAAAGTCCCCCTTTACTTTGTACCCTGGTTTGCACTTTTAGCATTTCTTGACCCCTGTGAGGTGAAAACCATTTCTTTATTATGAATCTCACTGAGAGAAGAACACAGGTTTGTAGCACTATCAGCAAAGAAAAGGATTGATACTTTGAGGATTTTAATATAAATTATGAAAAATATTTAGCTGAGCTATTTTACATTTTTTTTGCTACATAATTCCATATACCGTACTTCATATATAACTTTTGACTGGTAGTGTATTTGTTTGTATTGTGTGTAAAAAAATAAAATAAACTCTCTCAACCTTGCTGTTTTGTTATAAACATTTGTGATGATTGTTTTCAGGGTGAGAGGGGCTTCCCAGGTCTGACCGGGCAGCCAGGAGTCCCGGGTTTCCCAGGGCCAGAGGGACCCATCGGGCCCAGAGGAGAGAAGGTCAGTATGGATTTTATTTTATTTATGTATTCAGATAATAATAAATACAAAAGCTGGAGAACTGCCAAAGGTAAGTGAGATCAGAAAGCCACAAAAACGACTGTACAAAATTGTCATCATTGCCGCATTTTAACAATAACAGGTCTGTCTATAAAAGGTCTATCCACATATGCAACTACTTGAAACTACTTACTTTGAACCCAGTTTTGTTGTAATGTGTACTGGTCAGGTTCTGTTCAAGTCCAGGTTTAGTTCAGGTCCAGTACCAGCTCAGTTCTGGTCTAGTCCAGGTTCAGTTCTGGGTTCAGTCCAGATTTTGTTGTTATTTTGATTTGGTGTCTATGCAAATGTGAATGCTGCCTTAATCTTAGTTGTATAAAGCTCACACAAATCTGTGAATTAAACATATCAATTTAAATTATTGTATTTATAGTCTTTATACCAGTGAATACAAAATTATACATTTGTTGTCACTGTGGCTAAAATGATTATTCATGAATGTTTTTTTTTATCTTTTTTTTTTTTTTTTCAGGGCAGCGATGGTCCTCAAGGGCTGTCTGGGCCAAAGGGAATCCGAGTAAGTCAACTTCACTCATTCAGCTGTTAGTTTATCTGTATTATTATCTGTTCACATTTGGGACAACAGTGGTTTAGTGGTTAGAGCAGTGGGCCCCTCAACCTGAAGGTCAGGGGATCATTTCCCACTTGGGCTAAGTTCTGTATTTTATACATCTGAATAAAAAAATATATATATATGTAAACTGGCTTTTCTAGACTTTTTATAATTAAAAGTAGCAATAAAAGTATAATTAATACTTTTTTACTTACTTGTGTATCATATTTATTTCTCCCTCACTGTAGTCATTACTCATTTTAAAACATGTAATTCTGAAGCACTTATAAAGCCAGAATAAATAAAAAATAATAATAATTCAGTCCTAGCACTTTTAATTTTACTATAGCCTGTAGCCCAATCCAAAACTGTCTTTTGTACCCCGGTTGTAATATCTTGTACAACCACCAGATGTCCCTATTGTCTATGGTTCTTAATTTTTATTCATAGATTCTACATGATGTTCAGTATATAACCTTAGTTTCCTCTTCTGACAGGGGCCTGCCGGTTTGCCAGGTTTCCCAGGCACACCAGGACTTCCAGTAAGCTTTTCATTTTTCGCAGTTTAGCTCTAAAATTACTCTCAACCAAATAGTTCAGTTATACAGTCTAAGCTTGTTCCTGATCAAGGTCTTTGTGTCTGTTTAGGGTTTGCCAGGACAAGATGGACCACCAGGACCAAGGGGAGTGCCCGGCTGCAACGGAACAAAGGTGTGTTTACAAAAATATGGATTTAATAGGCTGTTTTCATGTGCCATCGCAACATTCAAGAATCCCTATAGTTTTACACTGGATGACAGTATTAGAGAATAACCACATACTGTATATATAAATGGACATAGCTATTAAGCTAATCACTGTGTATCAAATAGGAAGTGAGCATGGGCATCTTTCTGGTTCCATCGACTCCAATTCACTTTCCATTGAAAAACATGACCCCTCTCTCTGTAGCTGCTGCTGTGAGCCTTGTCATTTTGGTCTTAAAATGTTCGTATTAATCCACCCTACATGATCCCAGTGTATTTTGTCCCTAAATCAAGATATGAACAATATTAACAGCCAAGTGAGGTGCTTTCTTTCCCCAAGGTCACTCCTTTTAGCATTAGCAACTATTTTGATTGACAGTGTTGCTAAGTGTCCGCGCTGAGCTAAACCAGCAGTACAGGCAGAAAATATGGACCAGCCTCCAAATTCGCTCCAATAGCTCCTTGCCACGTGAGCTTCATTTGACTGGAGCCAAACGTTATGGGTGACGTCACACTTCCTGAGTCCCCTTCACATTTGAATCTGTTTTTCCTGTTTTCAGGGTGAGAGGGGTTACCCTGGGTCTGGAGGTATTCCCGGGGCTCCTGGACTTCAGGTACTGTTGTGATGCTGTTGTTGTTTGATGTCTTTTCCACATTCTTTGGATGTTTCTCTAAAATCATTTTTGTTTTTTTTCTTTTTAGGGACCTCCTGGTTTACCTGGAGCTAAGGTGAGAGATAATTTGTTAAATAAATTATTATGTTTAAAGGGCCCATACCAAGGTATTTTCTGATCTATGTTATAATGTTGTTTTATGTATAGGGAGACCCAGGTGATGTGATCTCGACCAATCGCTTCGGAGACAAGGGATCTGTGGGGCTGCCTGGTTTACCTGGACTCCCGGTAAGTAACACAAATATAACACAAATATAACATCTGTTCTGAATTGGCACTACATCCATGTTTAATCACTTTATATACAGTGGCAGAATTTATACAGGACATGTTAGTTTGTGAGTGTGTTAGCTGCAGATTTGGTATTTTTTGGTATTTATTTTGTAGATTGTTTACAGTTTAATCTATCTTTATATAGTGCTTGGTCTCGTGAGTGCAGTTTAGGTCAGATACAAAGAGATATGCAATCGTTTTGAAAGCTTTTGCCTCACCCCCTTTTTAGTTGAATAATCAATTGGCCGGACGTCTTGAGATTACCAGGAATTTCTTTAACTGAAAATGAAAGAATAAAGGAGTACAATTTATTTCCATACTTGGCACCATTGGCATTCATTTTACAATAAATATATATGTGGCTCCGATGAATCATGCTAGAGTGATAATGGCCAAGTTCAGTTTACGTTTAATACCTAAAAATGTTTTTGATTATTAGTTGCTGTCAGAAAAACACAACAAGACTGCCTTATTCCAATAAAAAAAGAAAACGGAAAAAAAAAAAAGCTTTCAAGTCTATTCCCTGACAGTGTATTCTCATAAGGGAACTGCAGGGGGAGCTCTATTGTTGAAAGTTACTTAGTTCTGATATTAACTGATTGCAGTTCCTTTTTTACTGGCACCTTTTTCCAAACTTTTCACAATTCAGAACTTAAGACATATATTTTTTTTTGACTTGTTCTTTTCTGTGGCAATGGTGCGAATATTTCATCATTCTGTAATCCATGGATAGTCTGGTTCAGGTTTACTTCAACTTTACTCCCAGTTTTGTCCCAATTATGAGTTGGTGGCCGTTCGAGGTTGTGTAACTTTTATGCTGTAATCCTTAGGCCTGCTATGATAATTACGATATTAACTTATCATTCAATACATAATAGATGGACTTTTGGAGTTAATATTTGTCTTGGGGACTTTTTCTTTTTATTTGGTCTATTTTTATTTTTTTTTTCATTTATTTTATTTTTTTATAGTGTGACAAGATTTGAGCTGTAGAGGGTTGTATAAATATAATTTATGACTCATTATAGATAAAAACTTACTACAAACTTTTCATTTCGCCATGTATTTATTACTATAGTTAATGTTTTTTTTTTGTTTTTTTTAAATATATTCTTCATTTAGATATTTTTTTTATATATTCTTCATTTAGATATATTTTGAATCCTGCTAGTGCGTTATTGTGACAGTGGAATATTGTAATTTATAATGTCCATTATCATTTATTGTCTATATTTTCTTAAAAGTGCACTATGTAACTTTTTTGGTCGAGGGTTCGTCAGCTGCTTGTTTCTGTGGATATGTCATGTTTGGCCGTATGACATAAACAGCTCTACCTTACATTTATTAGATTACGTGTGGTTTTATAAAAAATACCTGGAAAAACAGGCATTCTGTGAGCGTGGTTGCCTCTCCACAGATCTGACCTGTAACTTGGTCTGATTTGGTCTCCATGAAGATAGAAAGGTACCATACTGTGAAACATTCCAGACAAAGCAATAATACCTCCATGGAGAAAAGTACTTGATGGAACCTCCACCAGAAAAGTTACACAATGCACTTTTAAGCAATATATCTTCACTTCAGATGTGTTATCATGTTATTCTGTTTCTGTGTTTTTAGGGAAATCCTGGATCTCCCGGTTTGCCAGGTCCCACTGGCCCACAGGGACCAAGGGGATATGAAGTAAATTACTTTATATTTTCTCTTTACATCAGCTATCTTTAAATTTAATTGATGCAAGTTTTGAGACATAAAAAGATCAGATATTATCAACAAGTTAAATTAAACTAATCTAATATCTAATCTAATATCTTTAGAGATTTTATATTTATTTTTAAGTTAATTTTTGATATTTTTAACTGACTGTTTCTGTGTGTTTTAGGGTCCTCCTGGTCCTCCCGGTTTGCCAGGACCAAAAGTGAGTACATAATGATTCACATTTAGGTGCTGTACCTGATTTTTAGTGTTTCAGTGTGAAAAACAGAACTAGTTCATTGTAAACCGTTTGCAGTGGTCCAAAGTTATTCCTTACTTACCTGTTGCATTCTCATCATCATCATCATAATCATTCACTGTGAAGAGTTTCATAACTTTCAGAGACCAAAGCGGAGTTTTTTGAGCTAACAACTATTAGCATGCTATTCAGATAATTAAACAGTCTATAATTAGATGCAAACAATACACATCAGATTTATTTGACCTCCAGAGCTGCTTATACAATATATCTGTAGTGAGGAAAGACAGTTTATGCTCAAATACATCAGGTACAGGCCCTTTAATAAAGCTACATGAATGTTTTTAAACTTTCATCACTATGTCAACCAACTTTATCCTGTCTTCTGCTTTTAAATATTAAATTAATATCATAAATAAAAAGGTGGAAATAGTAAAATTGTAATGTTTTGTTTCATTCGGTTATATGTGGTCAGTAATTTTTTTCTCCACAGGGAAACATGGGACTGAACTTCCAAGGACCTAAAGGTGAAAAGGTAAGATTAGAGTATGTTAGTGTTGCCACGATCCTAAAATTTCTAAATACTAAGGAATACACTCGATACTCAATTCTGATTCCAAAACCACTATGAAAAAAACTCTTTCTTAAGTTTAGACAATAGATAGAATGTATTTTTCAACATTAAATCATAGTACTTTCTTTTCTATTACCATGTGGTCTTATATCTGTCTAATCCCTCAGGCTGGTTCCATAGTGGTATACGAGTCTATGTGCTCTTACACTAAATTAAGTTTAAATTTGTATCAGTATCTGCTCAAATCAGTATCTAGTTTTGATTCTACTAGATACTTTTGACAGTCTTAGCCTATATAAACACCATCTATACTTCCTTATCATAGCCTTATGCACCTGTTGGATGTTAAAACGCTGTTTGTTTGTGTTCAGGGTGATCCCGGTTTACCTGGACCTCCCGGGCCTCCTGGACAGGTCGGAGAGCAGAAGAAACCAACTGATGCCGAGATCGTCAGAGGAGATAAGGTACATTATAGATGTGGCAATTCTCAAAAAATCCCATTAAAAGTCAACCTGGTGATGTGTTATGATCTGTAATGTGTTAGCAGTTAATGCCTTATCTGCTTATTTATCTCACCACAAATCATATGGTTGGTTGTGCATAGGTCGTGCATGAACATTTTAAATTCAATTGCAAATAAAATGGTTATATCACCTTTTAAAATCTGCACATACCGTAACTGCTGTATTTAATTCCACCAGCAGAGGGAACTGTCGGAAGATTAAAATTCACCACTAAGTGATTTACACTCTCCACCACCAGAGGGCACTGTAGCCCTTAAATCAGGAAAACAATAAAGATGACTCAAATTTATCCAGATAATCATGCTTTAATCTTTTAGTTTTTAATCCTGAATCTACATCTCAGGCAAATCCTATTTTAATTTTTAAAAATAAATTTCAAAGTTATATTGTTGTACGTAGGTATCACAGTCTTTCAGTCAATATTATAAACAAATGAAACTTATTTCTACTTTCACTGTGTTTTTGTTTTTTTAGGGAGACCAAGGACCCCCAGGCCCTCCCGGTGATCCAGGCTACCCCGGGGCCCCTGTAAGTCTAGTTCTACTTTAAGGCTGTATTCCTTTTAATCTTTTAGTAGATTAATCGGTCGGTTTTCTTAGGCTACCAAAACTTGTATATGTCAACTAATAATTTGATTTAGATTGTAAGGATTTATATGGGACAACAGCAGAAAGGAGAAGTTGATGAGTGAGTTAGCTAAAGATTTGGTATTTTTTGGTATTTCTATGTTAAAAGCCAGATTAAACTCATGATATAAATACACTGTACACAAATTCCAAGTACTTTCTTCTGCATAAATAGGTGTAGTCCTTGTGAGTGCAGTTTGGGTCAGATACCTGGACATACATAATAGTTTTGAGAGCTTTTGCCACGCCCCCTTTTTAATCAACTAATTGTTCTACGTCTTTAGTCGGCCATGTCTTGTCATGAGTTTGAAGCTAAAACATTTATGGCAGAAAATACATGAAATAAAACATATAAATATTTCTGTAACATGTTTTTAAATGTGCTTTTTTTGTTTGTAGGGTCCTTCTGGTGGAGCGAAGGGAGAGAAAGGAGAACCTGGAGAGGCAGGCAAAAGAGTGAGTGCAACATTTATTGTATGTATTTAGTATTTTCATTATGGAGTTTTTATCACACTGAATAACAAGGAACAAACGTGTCCCTACTGTGAGTGGGCTTGCACCTCCACAAACCTGACTCTGACTCGCCTGCTTGTTTCCATGGAAATGTTGTACCTTTGGCTGTCTTCCACATTATGGCATCAAACTTTTCTATCTCCATGGAGAATTTTCCGAAGTATGGCTTTAACGTTCTCATTTCATGGAATTTGTTCTCTCATTGTTCCCTCATTAAAAACATGGTTGAAGGTTTAGTTGCCATCCATGCACATTTGAGTAATCTAGCCGTCCCTCCCAGGCCTTCTCTTTAAGATTAACTTGGTAGTTGGTAAGTTGGTAATTTTAGATATATTTTTTATTTTTAGGGCAAACCCGGAAAAGATGGTGATCCCGGACCTCCAGGCTTTCCTGTAAGTAATGTTCGAAACTATTAGTATTTTTATTTTTCTCATGCTGTGTACATTACTTACTAATCTTTATTATGTTTTCAGGGAATCAAAGGAGAATCAGGTCTTCCAGGTCCACCAGGCCGAGACGGAGAAAGAGTAGGGTTTTTTTATACTAAATTAACACGATTTTACATTAATCAGTCAAAATAACTATACTCTTCACAAAACTGATATTATTGTTTTTTCAGGGTATTAAAGGTGACAGGGGATATCCAGGACCTCCAGGAGTGGTGAGTAAAATACACTATAATGAAGACTGTAATGAGGTTTCAGACTGTCATTAAGATAATATAGGAGTCTTGGGCTGTAGGTTTTTCTGTTTGTACCCAACAGAATTGTACTGATGTGTAGAGTTGGTACACTGACAATATATAACTACCTAAATTAGTATATATATATTTTTAATCTTAATCTTTTTAATCTTTTAATCTTTCACAAAATATCAATAAACAGATTCAACTCTATTTTTTTCCACATTTGAAAGTGCCTTGAGTCGCATATATATATATATATATATATATATATATATATATATATATATATATATATATATATATATATATATATATATATATATATATATATATATATATATATATATATATATATATATATATATATATAAAAATAATAATAATAAAAATAAATCACACTGGGGCAAAAAATCTGATTTGACCTGCAGTGTGATCAGAGCCTCAAGGAGCCTTAGTTTTAATGAAGTGTTTTGACCACTAGATGGAGATAGTTTGATGACAGAAGTAGGAATTTTGATTTGATTACTTAAGCAAGAACACAACTTAATTGCAATGCTTTTCTATGTTGTGTGAGAATGCATCTTTCACTAGGTTTTCTCCTTAGTTTTCTAGCTGTTATTAGTTTTATCTGTCTCTTTTGTAATTGGTCCTGTATTTTTTCTCCAGGTGATTGGAGGGCAGACTGGAAGTCGTGTTGGCCCCAAAGGTGAACCGGGAATCCCCGGATCTCCAGGACTCAAAGGAGACAGAGGACCTCAGGGTTAGTGCAACAGTAATTTATGTATAATAAAAATCTTCAATTTTATTCTTATAATGTCATTATAAAGTCATTATAGTAAACCTTTTAAAGACAAATGGAATTGGGAAAAATGTTTGGGCCATTCAGTTGTATTTGAAGCGGTCTTGGCAGTTCATAAAATGCTCTGCTCACTCAGGTTTGTCTGGACCCCCTGGACCCCCTGGAACTGCCATTGCGACACAGCCAGGGCCCCCCGGATCCCCAGGCTTTCCTGGAGAGAGAGGGCAGAAAGGAGACTCAGGCGTCCCGGGCATCTCCCTGCCAGGACCCCCAGGACGCCCTGGTGCCCCTGGAGGACAGGGCCAGCCCGGCCCTCCCGGACCCCCAGGCTATAGCTCGGGACAGACCTGCGCCACAGGGGAGCCTGGACGCCCGGGTCTGCCAGGGGATAGGGGCTATCCAGGAGAGACAGGCCAGAAAGGTGAGACTCTTTCAGGACATATGCACCTTCTACTGTAGTATCTAGAGATGCACTGACACAGCGCTCTGCTGCAGGTGAGAAGGGAGACACCTGCATCAACTGCTTCGGAGGTGGCTCTGGTTTACCAGGACCCCCAGGACCCTCAGGACCTCGCGGATTCCCAGGTAAAGGATTTATGAGACATAAATGTATATGTGCATATTCTACCAACTGAGCCACACTGATCTTAATGTAAACCGAAGTGCTAACTTCCACTGACCCTGTCCCTGCTCAGGTGGTCCCGGTGGACCAGGAATCAAAGGAGAAAGAGGTTACCCTGGAAACCCAGGGATTCCAGGGGGTCCTGTCAGTACATTTACTTTTATCATTATAATCATTTACCAGTCAACATTATGTTTATGTATTATTCAATGAGCACCGTCTGTTCCGCAGGGCCCTGCAGGGCCCCCGGGTCCTGTCGGATATCCTGGAGAGAAGGGTGAGCCGGGAGAGGCAGTCTCCGTGACTGGGGTGAGGGGAGAGAAGGGGGATACTGGTTTCCCTGGACCCCCTGGTCTGCCTGGTCTGGACGGAAGGCCTGGTCGAGATGGAGCCCCTGGACTTCCTGGACCTAAAGGAGCATCTGTAGGGGACGCTGATACCACATCCACATAGAATGTACTCCAAAAGTGCCCACCTAATCCAGGGTTTGTTTCATTAGGGCTCGCTGCAGGTGAAAGGAGAGCGTGGGCTTCCAGGTGAACCCGGCCTGCCTGGTATCCCAGGAGACAGAGGCCCTCCCGGACCCCCTGGTTTTGGACCCCAGGGTCCCTCTGGAGAGAAGGGAGTGCAGGGAGTTTCAGGCCGACCTGGAGCTCCTGGTGCCCCGGGTAAGAACACAATATTTCTGCTCATGATTTGAACTCCACCTCTCACCTCTCCTTTTACCTTTTTAGGTGCAAAAGGTGAACCTGGCCTAACCATTGCAGAGAAGGGACTTCCTGGACCCAGAGGTTTGGACGGAGAGCCTGGTCTCCCTGGCTCCCCAGGTGAGAAAGAGAGATTACTGTGCACTGTTGTACATAGATGAATGAGACACTTATTTTGATGTTTTATGCTGCTCTGTTGTCAGGATCCCCCGGTCAGCCCGGACAGCCTGGTTTCCCTGGGTTACCAGGAGGAAAGGGAGACCCCGGACTCCCAGGAATTGGACTTCCAGGACCCCCAGGAGTTAAAGGTTTCTAAATCATACCTGAAATACAACTTTAACAACTAAGGCTTTATAAAATGAGAAAACCATACAGCGCTTGCTATGTTCAGTGCAAAAACATCATTGTACCCTGTTCAGGTTTCCCTGGTATCCCTGGGCAACCTGGATCCCCCGGAGAACCAGGAAGACCAGGAGTAGACGGACTGCCCGGACAGCCTGGATTCCCTGGAACCAAGGTACATATATAGTATTTAACACTGGTTATGATGAAGAGGACTTATTTACTTCAGTCCACTTTATTTGGATTGAATGTATAGCTGGGAAGGTGCATTTGAATTGTCCTTGAGTATCAATAAAGTTCTGAGAGGGTCATTGTTGCTGAGGTGTAGTAGGACTCGATCTATGTACTAAAAACAATCTGCTGTGCCATGGTATTTTAATGATATTGCGATTTCCCCATTTTCTTCATATATAATTTAAATTAATTGTGAGAACATAAAAAATAAATGAAGTAGAGAGAATTATGTTGAAGAAAGAGGTGGGTAGAGTATAAAAAAATTGTACAAAGCTAAAAGTAACGTTTCTTCTAGTAGAAGTACAAAGTAGAGTTTCAGAAAATGACTCAAGTAAAAAAGTAACTAGAGTAACTTAAAGAGTAATTGTCGGGTCATAACATCTGATTAATAATTTAAAGCATGAAATAATGCCCAAAATCTGTTATTTTCAAAGGACAGAAACAAAACAGAAAAAAAAAAACACACACAAATGTCCAAATCATTTCATTTTGTCACTTGTTCACAGTGAGAGTAACCAAAACGTTTAAGTAAGAGTATTATTATTTCAATAAAAATATTTCTCAAGTAGGAATAAATGTATGCTGTGCTGAAAAGTACAGTATCTTGTAACTGAGTAAAAGTACGACCAACCTCTGCATATTTTCTGTCCATAGGGTGATCCTGGTTTTGGACTGCCTGGCCCGCCTGGTTTGCCCGGCGTTCCTGGTTCAAAGGGCGTACCTGGACCCAAGGGAGACCCCGGTTTCCCTGGTGGTCCTGGTGGTCCTGGACGGAGCGGATTTGATGGAGCCCCTGGACTTAAAGGTAAGGCGTTCTTAGGTATCCTTTTCTAAGGGTTCCAACTTTCTGTTATAGGTGACATTTTGAAGACTTTTCCATAAAAAATAAACAGTTTAGAGCTTCTAACCATTTTTCCTTCTCATTTACCCACTCAAAGATGTATTCATGGATTAAAGTTTTCCATCGCTGTAACTGATTTCCGTCACCCACAGGCACTCGAGTTCAACCATGAGATTGATGCAGATCCTTTGGGAAAAAATTAAGGAAGGGGGAGGGGGTGTGGCAATGGCATAGGCATGCAATTTATTTTGCCTGAACCCTTTCTTGTGATATGTTTTTGTAGCATGTTTTAAAGCAAAATAAATAAATGTCACACTACTTTAGTGTAGGCTAGCAACACAGCAGCTATGAAACAATTTGGCTGTAGGCTACTATGAGCAGCTGCTCGTCCCTCAGGGTTTAATGCCCTATTCTGAACCTCACCGTTGTCATGAGTGCCTGAGCCCAGTAACCACTGCAGTTTGTTGCACAAGAGTTTTGTGGCTTTATTTGCCATGATGCACGTAATAACAGGCACTTGGTCACTAGTCTGCCCTGGTCGCCCTAGTCTCATTCACTTCACCAGATACACAGATATATATATATATATATATATATATATATATATATATATATATATATATATATATATATATATATATATATTATATATATATATATATATATATATACACTGTAAAGTCCTCAGGGTCCCATAGTAATGATTCTTTGTCTGCCAGTAAAATTTACTTGACTTTACTTATCTTTAACATGTAAAATTGCATATAGTCTGAAAGTGCATTATTCCTTTGTTGTCCTTTTGTAGGTGATGCTGGTCTGCCAGGTATTCCGGGAGCTCGTGGTCCACCCGGACCTCCTGCCCCTGGGTCAATCGGAGTCCCAGGACCTCCAGGACCTCCAGGACCAATTGGACCTCCAGGTAAAACAACCAAGAGAAAGGCAACTACTTACTGAGCATTTAGTTTGATATCTATATTCATGTTCCACATATAATATTTATAGGTCCTACATTATGCATTGTTTAGTGTTAGTTAGTGAAGTACTTTTTTAGACACACTATTATGTATGGAAAACAAATAAAAGTAATTCTGAGCACACCAAATGCAGTGTCGCCAGTAGGGGGCACAATGACTGAAATTAAAACCAACTTCTGCTAATTTCAAAAGCACTCCATGCATGATTTGGAAGAGTTAAATGCATTATCACAAAAATGGTATAAAAACTTCAAAATAATCAAATCAGCATAATACTGGACCTTTTTGTATTGTTGCATGTTTCATTAAATTGAATTTTTGTACACTGCGCATGTCCACATTTGCTCTGACCATGTTTGGGTGTTGGTTAGTGTGTGGTGTGGGTTCAGACTGTTTCCATGTTCCACTGCACTTACCTGAGTTTGAGGTTGTAATTCTGGTTTACAAGCTCTGATAGTTTTTTTTTTTAGTTTTTTTTTTTTTTAATGTCAATAAATGAGGACTCTGACTGTAATCAGTATTCTTTACATGCACGTCTATTTAACACACTATCAATAGGTTCATAAGCATCTCTGCTGATATGATGCAGCCTAACTGAGCACACATAACATCACAAACTGCCTTTTCCCTGAGAGCACAGCAGTAACATCACAGACCACGGCTCTCTCTATAAGAAACTCACTGAGCTACAGACCCACTCTGCTCCCATCCTCTGTCCAGCCACTGTGTGCATACATGTTTGAATGCATTTAATCTTAATGCATTATATATATTTTGTTCCTCTCATTTGGACTTGGCTTTACCCATCGTCCCCTGCGCTTTACACCACTCCCTTGTGACGCTCTGATGCCAAGGCGAGAAAGGTATTGTACCCCACCAGGGGGCGCTCATAGTGCAGTGTAACAAATACTAATACATACCATACAAGAGCTTGAGAGATTTGAAACATGAACACAATATTATATATTTTTAAATAAATGTGTTAATTACAGCAATGTTAATGTGTTTTATACAAAGACTTAACTGACTGTATAAAACAGGATACCCTGGAGGAAATGGAGCCAAGGGTGACCCTGGTCCCCCTGGTCTGGATATTCCTGGTCCACCTGGAGACAGAGGCTCCCCAGGCTTCAATGGTGCTCCAGGACCCATGGGAATTCCAGGACCCCCCGGAGGCCCAGGACGCGACGGCCTGCCTGGTCTGCCAGGTAATACTTTAATAATACAGATTTTATCATTTGCTGTATCTTACAGCTTTCAGACATATTTATCAGTTTATTTACATTTCCCTTGGTATGATTCTCTGCAGGAGCTAAAGGAGACATGGGCCCTGTTGGATCCCCTGGACCAGCTGGAGGCCCCGGTGGCCCCGGAGCACCTGGAGGCCCTGGACCTAAAGGTAATATTAACATTGTAACCTTATAACTATGGAAACAAGGCCAAATATAACTTAACTTATAGTTAATCTGAGTTTGACTCTGTTTTTCCTCCAGGTGAGCCTGGCTTTCCAGGCAGAGATGGAGGTCCTGGAGCTTCAGGAGTAAAAGGAGAGAGAGGAGACCCTGGAGTCCAGGGACCTCCAGGACTCAGCCCCAGTTCAGTGACAACAAAGGGACAGAAGGGCGAGCCGGGCCTGCCAGGTACAGCTCCGTGTGAGAGGGTTTGTAAAGAGAGAGTGGAGCCTCTTTAACTCTGTCATATTTTCAGGATCTCCCGGTATACCCGGACAGAAGGGCATCTCTGGTCTCCCTGGCGACCCTGGACTCCCAGGAGCTGATGGACGGCCCGGTGTCCCAGGACCCTCAGGTACTGGATAGTTTAGTTTATACTGTGCCTCATATTCAGACAGAGCATGTATCTAATGGTGTTTTTGGTGCACAGGTCCCAAAGGAGATCCAGGTATTCCAGGTATTCCTGGTGGACCAGGAGCACCCGGAGCTAAAGGAGCCATGGGAGAAATGGGGTTCCCAGGTCAGAGGACAGAGACTAGAGTTCTGAGCTAATAACTTAGTAAACACATCACTCACTGTTTTAATGCTGTTTCCTGACTGGATGACAGGCCCTGCTGGACAGAAGGGTGGGCCTGGTCTGTCTGGTCGACCTGGAGGTCCCGGACAGCCTGGAGCACCTGGTTTCCCTGGACCCAAAGGTGAACCCGGATCAGCCGGAGTTGGACCACCAGGAGTCCAAGGTGTAAAGGTACTGACTGTCATAGAAGAGCATAGCTACAACTGCATTAGTGACCACTTTATAACTGGCCTTTATGCACCAACTACTTCCTCTAACTGTGCGTGTTTAGGGAGAACCAGGCCAGCCTGGTTATCCAGGAACCTCAGGACTTAAAGGAACCCCAGGATCCCCTGGTCTGCCTGGTCTGCCCGGAGGTCCAGGTCCAAAAGGAGACTCCGGTCTGCCCGGATTCCAAGGTATTTTGGTAGTTTGCTTTTTATAGAGTCAGAAAAGTACATTCTGAACAAAACTCTATTGAGCTGTGACCAAATAACATACCCTTTAACCAACTCGATACTGACTGAAGCTGTCTTCATTCAGGCCCTCCCGGTATCCCTGGTCCCAAAGGTCTGGATGGAGGTCCCGGAGGCCCTGGACTCAATGGAGCCCCAGGAAGACCCGGCGAGCCTGGTCGACCAGGTGGACCCGGTCTGCCTGGAGAGAAGGGTCAGGCAGGACGAGACGGCATCCCAGGACCGGCCGGAGTCAAAGGAGAACCAGGTAACAACAATCCAGAAAAATGTACCTATCGTATTTTTCAGTCTATAAGTTGCACTTTTTTTCATGGTTTGGGTAGTCCTGCAACTTATACTCAGATGCGACTTGTATATTAAATTTTCACACTGGCAGCCGCGAGAGGGCGCTCTAGGCTTGTGTGCCAGTATTTGCCACTCCTATTACCCCAGTACCACTGTCACTTCGTGCTCTATTGCACATGTCTTCTGAGAGCCGCTGTCCTGTCTGGTATCATATTAGTTAATCGCACCGTTACATCTGTACCACTGAATATTTAACATTTACACAAATTTATAAAGACAACTGAGAAGACTGAACACAAATGCCCCCAAAAAGAAAATCATATTGTGCAGAATACAAGCTGCAAGTAGTGAAATATGCAGCTGATGAGTGACATTTTGGAAAAGTGAAAAGAAAAGTGAAAGTTTGGAGTGAGTGAGAAACTTGTGACAACCAGGAGGCTGCGCCATGCAACTTTCCTGGAAGTCATTGGATGGATCGACAAAGCCTGGACTCCATCCTGTCAGGATTCAGAAAGGCCGGAATAATTCTAACTGGAACTGATGCTGAGTTTAAGGACAGCCACACTGAACAGGAAGTGGCACTTACCTCTGGAGTTGCTCAGAAGTGATATCGAGGATGATGAATTCTTTGGATTTAGTGATCTGGAGTGAGATCGAGAGTTTCGTAAATTTGTTCTGTTCTGTTGTTTATGGACCTTTAAACCTTGAGATAAATATGACAAGTTTGTGGTGCTAATCCCAAACAAATAATGATAAGATCCAACATTTGTGGATCATGAATTTGAACATTTCTATCACAAAAACAGTGATTCTTCCATAGTTATACAGGCCCCGCCCTCCATCTGAAATCATGACACCAACAGATTTTAGAACACGAATGTGGGCTATTACTGCCATTACTGTACAATATAATCTCCTTGCGTGCTCCCTATCGCTATAGTTATCTGAAGAACTGTTCATATTTTACGTTAACAGCCTGTTATTCTCTATTTTGTTGTTATTTCTATAACTTGCCATTCAAGATGAAATGTTGGTTCCTGGTCTCTGATTTCATAAAATAAATTTCCCCCAAAATGTGCGACTTATAATCTAGTGTGACATATATATGCTTTTAATTCTTCATGACGCATTATATAGAGTATGACTTATACTCCAGAGCGACATATAGTTCGAAAAATACGGTACGTTATGTTTTAAAAACTGAGGCAAACACAATGAGGTAACTGCAGATCCTGTGTTCAGGTAATTGTATTAAGTGTAAATTTGTAAATGGGCCCGGTCAAGCAGAAGTAAACAGCAAGGCCAAAAATTCTAGTTAATGCATCTGATATAAAAATGTATTCAACAGATAACATATGTACTCAAGTTTATGAAACTGTTTATCTTTTTTCTGTACCATTTTTGGTTCTAAAGTTACATACGTTTTAAACAGACCATGTATGCAACATGGAACAAAAATTATTTCCCAAATTTCAAAGACCTGCAAATCATGTAAATAAATTGATGTATTTCATCATATCTTGTGTTATTCGATGTTTGAACTGGTGATGAAGGTACATGATTTTTCAAAAAAAAAATATTTAAAATGATAAAAATTTGCTTGGAAGGACTGACATATTTTATAGAAATAGTTTCCTTTCATGTTGAAGTAATATTAAAGTATTCGGAAGAAAAAAGCTGACAAATTATGCAAAATCATGCACCTTCTACTTGCTTGCACAATTTTCCCTCCGTTACTTTTCCCTCCGTGAATAAAAAATCTCATTACTCAGTAAGTAGTAAGTAAGAGGTTTTTCAACCTAATCTTGTATCATATGGTAGAAAACTATATTAAGCAAATATTCAAACCAGTTTGTTAAGGATATGTAAGTGAGAACCAAGAGTTATCACTGTTTGTATTTATTGCCCAAAAAGTTCTGCATATTTCATTCCCTCCGTTACCAACATGAGTTTTTAAATTTTTTGTCAACAACTTGAAAGAATATCGCAGGGTTAACTTTATCCTGTTGGAGTGTTAACTCTTTCCTACATTCTGATACTTTACTTATTTCAATAGTCCCTCTAGTTTCTGAATAAGAGACATTTGAATGTAAAAAATCTGCCCGTTTCCCTCCGTTACCACTTGACTGGACCCAAATGAATTGCATGTATTAATAAGGACATGAAGAAAAGACAAGTTCCAGTGATTTCTTTGTTTAAAAAAATGTCATCAGCCTAGTGTAGCTAAAACAAATCTATACGTAAACTCATTAAAAATTCATATTTATAATTGTTCTTTTTTGTATCAGGTCTCCCTGGTTTTGGAGGTCCTGGTCCATCTGGTCTCCCAGGTTTACCAGGTCAGTTAATGCATTAGCTTTTTTTACACATAAGACTTGTACAGTGCTCCTGTTTTTAATAGATAGTGCCCAGTTTAAACCTCTCCTCTGTTCCTTTTGCGCAGGTGCAAAGGGAGACCCAGGTTTGCCGGGTCCTTCTGGTGCTCCTGGTTTCCCTGGTCCCAAAGGAGAGGCTGGTTTCCCTGGCAACCCCGGCTCCCCAGGCCCCGCTGGTCCCCCTGGCTCCCCCGGAGTTCCTCTGCAGGGGCCCAAAGGACTTCAGGGACCCCCTGGGCCTCCTGGAAGAGCAGGTAAAGGATTAAGACAGGAAGAGCTACATACAGATGGTTGCTGTTTGGTTTAAGACAAAAAAAACAAAACAGAAATTACTGATTATTATTATTATTGCTATATAAAAGCTATAACATATCACCTGTGTTTCAGTACTAGAAGATCTATAGTAATTTATGCAGAATAAAAACGGTACCACTAATAACTACACTTTAATTAGACTTAAAGGTGCACTGTAACTTTTTGGTTGGGGGTCTATCACGAGCTCTGTCTGAATGTTCCACTGTATGACATAAAAACGCTCTACCTTGCAGGCATTCTAGCTGTGAGCAAGGTCACTTCTCTACAGATCTGACCTGTAATTTGGCCTTGTTTGGGCTCCATGATGATAGAAAGGTTTAATACCAAATGGTGAAACATTCGAGACAAAGTAATTACAAACATTTAACGTACCCTCCACCAGAAAAGGTAACTGATGCTCCTTTAATAAAGCATGATCAGAGTCAAACAAATAGTTTAAGAGTGATTCAGGCTTCGCAACTACTTAATTTATGCCCTAACTCAGAAGGGTCTAAACTATGGCCTTCTGCTTGGTGAGGTATCTCTATAAAGCTATCACCAGTCTGAATTATCCACTGCATTTACCCTCCAGTTGCGGTTGATTAAAGTGTAGCTGTAAAGTGGTTAAAAAAAGTGTAAAAATAAATAAATAAATAATAACATGAATAAATAAATGACAAAATAAAATAATTAAAACCAGACAGCAAACTTCAGTGTGTTCACATGTCCAAAGAGAGTTGATTTGCATGTTACGTCTTTATGATCAAATCCCACATTATTTAAGACCACTTTATGTGTTTAAATGGTCACTGTGTTTGAATCTAAAGCACCTGTCCAGTCCATGTTCACTCTGAGCACCAATCATACACCTCAATGTTGCAGTAAATTTTCCACAAATGAGGCACTTTTTCACTCCACCAAAGGCAAAACTCTTGTTATTTACTTCTCCACAGTTGTGATGTACAGTAGTTTTAAATATGTGTCTGTCCAGTATTTTTTTTTATGATTTTTGGGGGAAACAGCAAAGCCAAAAAACACCTTAAACTGACCAGTAATTCAAAAAATATATGGTTTTCTTTCTTTTCTGTCTTTCTTTAATGTTTGTATATTGAATATTTTTAACAATGCCAGACATACACAGTGCATTAAATGTGCATTGTGTAACTGTTCTGGTGAATCCTCCATCACCTGAGACACCTGAGATGTCATTGCTCTGCTTGGAATGTTCCATAGTATGTCATTCAACAATTCTACCTTTTATTTTTTAAATTATAGATGGTTTTATGGCTCAAAAATACATACAAAAACAGGCATTCTGAGTGTGAGCAAGGTTGCCTCTCCACAGAGCTGACCTGTAACTTGGTCTAGTTTGGTGTCCATGAAGATAGAAAGGTTTAATACCGTACAATAATAATAATAATAATAATAATAATAATAATAATAATAATAATATTTCCATGGAGAACAGCATGGATAAATGCGATGTCTCATCTTTTTTTAAGAATGAGAATTTGATTGTTGATGTCAGTTTTTAAGACAGACTTTGGCTTTGCTGTGTATTTTATGTTTTGTTTCACATTGTCATCTGCATGATCACTTTATGTCTTCATCCATGAATTTGTAAATATTGTAAACACAACGCTTAAATGAACGGACAACAAATATGTGCCTGGCCATGATAAAATGTCCAAATTCTAAGATGACTTTTCAGGTACAGTAGTTTCCAAACATCCTTGTGATTGAAATATAAATTTTTTTCCTTAAAATGACCGGGTTCTATCTGCATTCTGGGTAATTCTGAAATATTTAAGTTGAAGTGGAACTAAACACCTCTACAACCACCTGCAACCGCATTTAAAGTAGAGCTGCTAAACTGGGCACGAGGAGAGGAGGAGGGACGGGGTCTAGAGGTGTAAGAAAAAATGCGATTGGTGTAACAGGCATCTACATTTCAACCTATGCCCCTTTAGCTGTAATCTTGTATTTCTGTGTGATGTCACCAACTACTTAATATTGCAGAGGCCACTGAAGGCAGCACAAACTTAGATTCAAGTGTTTTTGGCCAAAAAGATACAAATTTACCAAAATTACCAAAATTTAACAAGATAAGAAACAGTAGAAAATGCTGTTAAAACACCGTATACTCAGTTAAGTAGCAAAATCAAAGTTGATTTACTGTTTAGTTCTACTTTAAAGTCTTAAATCCTGAAACAAAGGAACAAATTATTATATGAAGTCCTACAAATTGTGTTTTATGTAATTAATTTCTTTATCCAAGATTTTGTTGCCAATGTTGTCCACTCATTAGCATTGTGTCGAGATAAATGTTATAAATGTTATAAAGTTGATTTCCTGTTCCTTGTGGCCCCGCCCCTTCCTGTGATGTCAACGGTCCATGGCAGGTCCCGCAGGTCAGAGCGTTGGAGACTTCTACAGCACAATGCCTGCCGTGCACTGGGTCTAATCTTATTTATGGGGAAAAAAATAATATATAATAATAATTAATCACATACTTTAGCAGCCAATCACCACAACTGTCATTTTTTTATTTTATTTTGTCCTTTTTCTCTCTCACTTTTCCATGCACTCTGATGATAGCACGGTATTAAACAAGTAAGCACCTTTTAATCTCACAATAAGAAGATAGTTACGCACCAATCATCTTTTACCATACTGATCTTGCATAAAAAGCATGTATGCAATTTCACATGTTTCTTCTAATTATTATTACACACCACAGATTTAACGTCCTTTATTCTGTTTTAAAGGATTTAGAGAGTTGTCTGGCATTCAGTAAAAGTTCTTAGGGATGCATCAAAATATAGCATAAGTGCATACCATATTATTGTGACATTATCTAATCATTATACTAAAACTAGTATCGAAACTAGATACTCATTTGAGCAAATATAGATACGAATAAAGTCGCAGCCATGGGACAGAAATGAACCTTTCCTGAATAGTTTTAGAATAATCATGAGCTGTATCAGAACAGGTTTAAGAGGATATAGACTAGTATACGCCCATGAAACACTATGAAATCTACCTGGACGACTAAGGGATTACACCATATCGTATATAAAAGAAAGTGCTATGATTTAATATTGAAAATCACATTCTGCTGTCTAAATAAAGTCGTTATTTATCTTTGTGGTATCAGAATCAGTATTCAGTATCAAGTCTATTGCATAGTTTTGAAATCAAGTTTAGTATTGTGACAACACTAGACCTTGAAAATAGCAGAATAAAGGACTGCTAAACATGGATGATATAATTTTTACATTCACTCACTATATTAACCACTTAAGCCACCTTATACCCACTGTAATGTATTTTCATAGTAATTCAATATCCATTAAGATTCATAGAAAATATTTTTGTTTTTATCTGTCTGAAATGTTTTCCCTGTGTCCCATGCCTTCAATGTGATTCTGCTTTACCGGGAATACTTGGATTCGTAGGTCCAGCAGGTTAGACTTCAATGGTCTTTGTGTGTGTTTGTGTATTGCTTTTTGTAATTTGTTAATGTGTTTAATTTCATATTCTTTTTTTTTTTATATATATAACATTGCAAGGGAATTATCGGTGGTTATTTCTGTTTATTTTCATCAAGCATTCAATAATATGAGACCCTCACCTAGGCAAATTAAACAACAAAAAGCATAACACGAATTTCTAGTGTTGGATTTTGAGTTAAAACATTTTACTTTTTCCTCATATCTTAAACGTACACTATGCAACTTTTTGGTTGGGGGTCCATCACCTGTTTGTTTCTATGGATATATGATTGCTCTGCCTGGAATGTTTCACAGTATAACATTAAACACCAATACCTTACATTTATATTATTTACAGATGGTTTTCTAGCCTAGAAATACCTAGATAAACAGGCATTCTGACTGTGAGCAGGGTTGCCGCTGAAGTTACAGATCTGACCTATAACTTGGTTTGGTCTACATGAAGCTAGAATAGTTTAAAGCCATACTGTAAAACATTCCAGACAAAGCAATGACATCAAAATGGAGAAAAGCGCTTGATGGGCCCTCAACCAGAAAATCTGAACAACACACCTTTAAATTTGTAATCATTTGTAAATATGTTTTAACTAAAATGGCTTGCATTGTGACTCTTAAAGATGTACAATGTCACTTTTGTGGTAGAGATTTCACCACCTGATGGACTCCAGAAAGATGTTTTTACTAGGCTTGGAATGTTCCACAGTATGGCATATCTCCATCTAGATAAGCAGGTGATGTAACTGGGGCAAATCAGTTACAAGTCAGATCTGTGGAGAGACTTGGCTGCTCAAGAATATATATTTTTCATGGTATTTCTCGGCAATAAAAACCTGTGTAACTGAACAAGACAAGCAGGGGACAGTTCCCACCTCAGAAAAGTTATGTATTGCACCTTTAAAGCTACCATGTACGTTTATTTAATTTTATTTATTTATTTATTTTTTACCGTAGATGGCAGATATAAAACCTGTCCCCCCATCATCCTTTCAAAAGAATAAAACAGGGCTGGGTTGGAAAATCTAATTAGAAGTGGTAGCTTTAAGTGAAATTAGGATCTGAAGAAAAACAAAAACTATGAAATGAAAGTTACATTGTTCAAAATATTGCATACATTTTTGTTCTTCTTGTTGCCCATACAAGGTCTAACTTCTTTATTTGTCATTCCAGCATTTGAAAAAATAACTAAATGTGATAGTTTTAAATAAGATAAAAGCTATAATAAATACTACTTAAAGATCAGCATTTGCAATAACAGACATGAGGAAGAGTAGCGGGGACAGCACTATAAGGCAAAAAAACACCTTTGTCTAATTATATTCTTGTTGGTGTATAGGTCCAGCTGGTCCACAGGGTCCCCGCGGTCCTGCAGGAATCGGAGGAGTTAAAGGAGAGAAAGGCATCCCCGGAGCCCCAGGAACGCCAGGCTTCCCCGGACAGAAGGGAGAGCCCGGCACCCCTGGTTTCCCGGTAAGAGTCGCCTTTTAAATGTACTGTTAATGTAAATGTGTGTTAAAATGACAATTCCCCTTTTCTGTAAGAAAAGTTTTGGGTTAGATTTTCTTGTTCTAGTCATTTTTATATATGGGTTTTTTTATGGAATAATCAATAATGGAGCTATGTGATTATATATTTATTTTGTATCAAATATAATCTCCCCACCAGTATTGGTCAAAACCTTTGCTTTTTTGTTATAGTCTATAGACACTCGTAGATCATTGTGTTATAATTTGGACAATTTAAATGACAATATTCATTTAAATTTATTTAGAGAATTTAGGGAAACAAATTTAAATTTGTACAAAACAAAGTATTGGAAATCTAAGAAAGAAACTGGAGATCTAAGTCAGATGGGTACTGGTGGGTGTGGACCAGTGGGGTGGTGAACATGGTTGATTGGAGCGATGATGTCTTGAATACAGGAAAATAAAGATTACAGTACTCAAACATGCAGGAATAACTCTAAATACAACTTTGAGTGGATAAATGAAAAGTAAAACAACTACAACATGGTCTAAGAAGTAAATTTTGTGTCATAGGTCTGCTTTAAGACTATATTTGTAGAGCGTGCTAACACATTTGAAATATCCAAATTTTACTATTTCAGGGTCCATCTGGTTTGCCTGGTAGTCCTGGTCTGAAGGGTGATATAGGTCTACCTGGAGTTCCTGGGTTCCCTGGTCAGTATTTAATTACATCTTTAATTAAAAACACAGTGTCCTCCTTAAACAGAAAATTTAAATGTTGTGTTTTTTTATTTTTATTTTATTTTTTTTAAGGTCCTAAGGGAGACTCTGGAATTCCCGGTGCTAGTGGGCTTCCTGGAGACCGTGGAGACCCTGGTCCTGCAGGTAGGTGTCAAAAAATTATGCCCAGAAAGTAATAGATACTAAAATTATTATCGAAACTTGATTCTCACTTTTACAGAATTAGGGTGACTATGTCTTAAAAATAAACTATCATTAGTCATTGTTTAAAAATATATGTACATTATATGTTATACAGTTTTGATTATGTTTGATATGTTTGCTACAACATGTCAATAAACTCAGTTCTGGGTTTAGAGCATAAACTGTATAAAAGAAGTGGACTAAGCAGGTATGACGTCACCCATAGCGTTCAGGGACACTCAGATGAAGCTGTCAATGCTAACGGTTACAGAAGCGAATTTGGAGCCAGGCTCCATATTTGGCAATCTGAGTGCGAGTATCATTGCAACCACAAGAGCCAATCATGATTGGGGTTGTTAAATGTAGCCGCTCTTCTCACCAGAAAGCAGGAAGGGGGCTCTAACTGTCTAAGCACTCTGTCAGTCAAACCTGTTGCTAACCCTAGCAGGAGCGACCTCAGGGATTTAAGGCATCTGATTGGTCCATTAGTTATGTTCATATCTTGATTTAAGAACAAAATAGCGAAATGAAAAATGCAGGATCATGTCGAGCGGGTTAATATGAACATTTTACGACTAAAATGACGAGGCTCACCGCAGCAGTTAAAGTGAGAGGGGCCACAAGATCCCAGTGTAAGTCAATTGGAGCCAGGGTCAGAAGGAGCTGAAGAGTCTCCTGTAGCACTTCCTATTTAGAATGCAGCGGCTAGCGTGTTAGCTATGGCCATTTGTATATACGTTCTATGGTTTAGAGGCAATTCTGAGTCGTACTGACCTTTTAGAGCCCTATATTTACATGTCCTTCTTCCCCAGGTCTGCCTGGTGATCCTGGCGTTCCTCCTACCCCAATCGTGGTGAAGGGAGAGCGGGGTCCCCCTGGTCCTCAGGGTCTGCCCGGTGGGCGTGGTCTGCCTGGTCCCCCCGGTCGCGAGGGACTCCCAGGTAAGGACATTAACCACTTTTCTGATGGTGTTTTCATAGTGTTATCTACTGTTCCTAGTCCTTATTTGGCAACTTAGGTGCAGTTTAGGTAAATTTAGGTAAATAAAAAAAAAAAAATCTAAATCTGTGCTGCCTTCAGTGGCATCTGTAATTTCCAATAGTTTGTGACATGAACTACAGGCACAACCACATTTTAAATTGAACCGGGAATTGCAGAAATTACAGTGACCACTTGAGGCAGCACACACTCAGCTGCAACTGTACATAGCTTGCAGTACAATTGAGAGGAAAATGACTAGGAACATTAGATAATGTGATTAAAACACCGCACACAGAATTTAGTAGCAATGGGTGATTTAGTATTTTGTTCCACTTTAAAGGCACAGGAAGGATATAGAAAACAGTTGTCATTTTACCTTAACATACTGCAAGGGTCATTGTTATGCTATGTTATGTTAAACCTGGTATCTGAGGACACAGGTTGGTCAGGCTTAATACAATTTGAAATAAACATTCCACATACTATTCTTTTAGGGTAATTGTGAGAGGGTATATTGTCTTATGTTCGTATTATGTGTTTGTGAATGTAGGAGCCCCTGGAGAGCCTGGAGACCCTGGTCCTGAGGGCACCCCTGGGTTTAGTGGTCCCCCTGGCAGAAAGGGCGACACAGGACCAGCTGGACAGCCAGGTAAACACAACACCTGCTGCTAAAATATACCACAGTGTAGGGTTGTCAAAAGTATAGAAAATAAGATACAAATACATAATGAAACTAGATACTCATTTGAGCAGGTATCAATGTAACACCCACACTGAGTGCAGGAGATTACCAATCAAAAAATTATCTGGGTAACTGATTGTTTTTTAAAACTATTGCCCTATAACAGTCTGCTTGTAATAAATAAAATAACATAAAGGCAAAGGAAAGGCTGTTTCGTTTTAAATTATATTAGGCCACTTATATCACACACTGGCAAATACAAAGTTCATCAGCGCACCCCCTTTAGAGTTTGATTGTCCACGTGCACGCCCTAATCATAGTCTTTCATCCAAGGGATTTATTTAATCCAGAGCCACTCCACGATCCAAATCCCCTCAGCAGACCCGTTTAAAACAGTCTTATAAATTCCAAATTAACCTTCTTCAAAAAAACATATATCCAAAGGGCTGCAGCGCCGGTGCATGCTCTCGTGTCAGCGCACACCTCGATCAACGAGCAAAGGCAAAGTACATGGATGGATCTCGCCGGGTCGAGCTGGGTCCTGTCGGTCTGATCCTCAACACCGTTTACGTGGTTCAGTACAGTTCAGTTCAGTTAATAAACCGTGTTATGTCCTTTAAGTCCCGAACAAGCGCCAGCGGCACAGCGGTGAGATGGGGCGGCGAGCGCGCGCTCACACGTGTGTCCCTATATACTATTAGGCAGGCGCGCGTCAGCTGACAGGGTAATCAGCTGATCACGTAAAGAATAACAGAACAATAACAGAAAAAGAGCGGCCTCAGTACACTTTAGAAATAAAGAAAAATACTCGTAATCATCTTATGTTGCCTGGGCTACATCAATACTAAAAACATCACATTCACAGGACAGAAATGAACCTTTACAGAATAACTTTAGAATGATCTTGACCTGTATCATAACAAGTATAAGAGCACATAGACTAGTATAAGCTCATGGACCAATATTGACCCTTCCTGGACCACTGAGGGATTACACTGATATAAGGCCACATGGTAATATAAAAGAAAGTACTATGATTTAATGTTGAAAATGACTTTCTGTCCTCTAAATAATGAGTCTTTTTATTATCTGAAATTTTAGTATCTTGACAACACTACTAACAAGAATTATAATCATATAAATAAAACATTTTTTCATTTCATTAGTTCATATTTCATCATTCATTTTTCACATTTATTTAATAGTCAAAGATGCACTCCACAGGTTGAAAACTAACAAGCTACAATATCATTCATTTCAGGTAAAATCTCAACACAAATTTAAAGAGGCACAGTTATGTCCTGCTTGGATTTAGTGGAGTTAGTCCTGGTTTATCTCTCATTCTCTTCTACTAAGAACTAGTTACATTCTATTATAGTTCAGACTTAGACTTAAATTACACATAGGCCACACATTATAGATAGTCCTAGTTTATTTAGGCCTATCTCGCTGGTTCAGGTAATTTTTTAATCAACCAACCAGACAGCTCTGTTGGAGTTAACTATTGATCTCTCTGTGTGTTTTCTTTCAGGTGCTCGTGGTTTGCCCGGTCCCACTGGCTCCGACGGGCCCCAGGGTCCCCCAGGTCTTCCTGGTTCTGTGTCTGCGGCTCACGGGTTCCTCATCACCAGACACAGCCAATCCACAGAGGTGCCCTTCTGTCCAGAGGGCAGCAACCTCATCTACGACGGGTATTCTCTGCTCTACGTCCAGGGCAATGAGCGGGCACACGGGCAGGATCTGGGTACGGCTCTCACACTGTTCATGTTACACAGAGGGAGGGGACAAGAAACAATAATTTGATAAAAAAAATAATAATAATAATAATAATAATAATAATAATAAAGAAAGTGTTTTAATTTTGTATAATCATGATAATTATTTTGACAATCATCACTGACACAACTCTTTCCATGCTTAGTTGGACATAAGAGTGGCACTGTGGTTAGAAACAAAAAGTGCATGTGTATTTATTATTTATTTTTTGTGAAATTTATAATTTTATTTTCTGGTTGGGTAGCAGTTATGATACATGAAGAGATAATTTCATAGCTATTACCTAGCAACCATAATAATAAAGAAAGAAAAGTGTAAATTACACTACAGTTATGATATGACTAATAAAAATAGATGGCAACACCTCTATTTTGTTAAATCAATATTTAGTCTATCAGAAAATTATGTTCCTGCATTTTGGATGGACTTTTTAGTGTGGATAACATAGATAAACTAATTTCTCTCATATTTCTTGGTGTTTTACAGGTACGGCTGGCAGCTGTCTCCGTCGCTTCAGCACAATGCCCTTCATGTTCTGTAACATCAACAACGTGTGTAACTTTGCCTCTCGTAACGACTACTCGTACTGGCTCTCCACACCTGAACCTATGCCCATGTCTATGGCCCCCATCACTGGAGAGGGCATCAAACCTTACATTAGCAGGTACCTGAACTAGTGGTGTCATGAACATTTCAAACTCTATTTAGTACTAAGCAATAGACTCAATACTGATTCTGATACCTTGGTTACAATTTAAAAAACACTTGCCATTCATTAAATAATAGTGCTTTCTTCTATATTACTATGTGGTTTTATCTGTGTAATCCCTGTCGTACTAGTCTATGTGCTCTTATATTGTTCTGCTACAGCTCATTCTAAATCTGTTCAGCAGAGGTTCTTTTCTGTGCTGTAAATGTGATTTTTTTTAGTATTGATACTTGCTCAAATAAGTATCTAGTTTCAATTTTAATTTTAGTATTGATTATTAACAGATTTTTTTAACGCTTTTGGAAATCTTCACCTGAAATACCCAGACAGGGATTTACAGGACTCATGTCATCATTTACAAAAATGTCAATCACTGGTCACTCAGCCCTGGTTTTACTGGTGTAAAACTAAAATGTGTGTTTGTGTTTACAGGTGTGCTGTGTGTGAAGTGCCAGCCATGGTGATAGCAGTTCACAGTCAGACAATTCAGATCCCCTCGTGTCCTGCCAACTGGGAGGCTCTCTGGATCGGATACTCCTTTATGATGGTACTATGTCTTTGTATTATGAGATCTGAACTCTCAAAGGGACAGTATGTAGCCTGCGTCTTACTGGTTTAACAAATGTGCTACAGTCACAACTAACTCAGTGTTGCTAGTGGTTTAACCTGCAGATAGAGGACACATACAAGTTTGTCTCATTCTCAGTATATGGACAGACCTCATGTGAAAGCTCAGAACCTCCAGAATTCCCTCAATGAGCTGCAGAGGCTGCACTAGCACTGATTCTTTTTTGACTGCAGGTGCTGGAATTTAGGGAGTGACCATTCGATCAGAGAGAGACATTTTAGGTTTAAACACACTTAATTTCAGCACTGAAATATATGGTGAAACTGGAAACCCAAATGAGACAGTCACTTGAAACTCATTTTGCTTACTGATTGGATAATCGTCTTGAGAATCAAAACACCAAATTATAATATCAGCAAGTTCCAATGTTTATATAATTAAGAATAAATCAGCAAATTGTTACGAGTAAAAGCTATATTTGATTTGAACATGTTTATCTCATATCTGGGAACAATATACCATGTTTAAGACATTTTAAATAAAAATAGTACAGAGTGTCCCTTTACGTAGTGATTTTTAAGTTGTGATCTATGTTCATATATATGTTATATATATGTATTTGTTGTATATATGTATTTGTACTCTGACCCCTCCTCTCTCTCTGTGCCCCCTCAGCACACCAGCGCGGGGGCAGAAGGCTCGGGGCAGGCCTTGGCATCCCCTGGCTCTTGTCTGGAGGAGTTCAGGAGCGCTCCATTCATAGAGTGTCACGGCAGAGGCACATGTAATTACTATGGCAACTCCTACAGCTTCTGGTTGGCCATTGTAGAACAGAACGAAATGTTCAGGTAAAGACTTTGAAATACTACTGTTGGGTGTCAATGGTGTCTAGATATGCATAAATTAAAGGTGCACTATGTAACTTTCCTGGTGGAGGGTTCGCTACCTGTTTGTCACTATGGAGATCTTATTGCTTTGTCATGGTACATAGAAAACAAACAAATATAGACAAACAGAAAAGAAAAGTTTATTGAAAGTGTTTCAAAGGTCCTGTAATACACAAAATGGATTCTTGCTTTAAGCCATGTTACAATGCTGTTGTCTCCTCAAAAACATAGCTGGAGTTGTATTTTGTTTTATTCATACATGAAAGTCACATGTGAATGAAACAAAACACAACTCCTGCGATGTTTCTGAGGAGGAAACAACATTATAACATAGATCAGAAAAAAGCTTAATATGGGCCCTTTAAAGTGATGGGTTTTCAGGGTTAATCATGTTATCCATTATTATTTTCCCTCTGGATGACTGACCCCTCTGTGCTCCTCCAGGAAACCCCAGTCGGAGACGTTTAAAGCGGGTAACCTCCGGGCTCGCGTCAGTCGCTGTGTGGTCTGTATGAAGAGGACGTAACGCTCTCGGCTCTGAGCCCCTCCCCGTCGTCATAACGCCCGAAAGAGAACACAGCAAAACCATCGCAGAAGAAGACGAACTACGAACGGCGGCCATGACACTTCTGCTGTCACTGTGGCGACGAGGCTTTGGATACCCTGGTGCATCGTCTTCCTGAAAACTTAAACTAAAACAATGGTGCTACTGTGTCATACAGCTTCATAAAAAGATAAAAACTGACTTAAATAATTCTTAACTTTAGTCTTTGGTTTTCCTAAGAAGTACCTCAAATGAAAGCAGAAAATTATCCGCTAAAGGTGCCATGATGGAAGTGTGACAACAAAGTGCTTTTCTTTTCTATTTTTCTCAATGGACTCCTGTTTCCTGTTCCTCTGGCCCTGGCTACACAAGTCACTGCTTCCTTCACATAGGTTTCCTCATGTAAATAACCGTTAGTCATTTTCCACTCAGGCCTGTCACGATAACAAACTCTGAAGTGTGATATAGTTATTTTGAAGATATTTATTCATCCCTTCACAGCTCAAATAGCAAAGAATTCCTGACTTGTGAAAAGACAAAGATCCCACAATTAATATCGACCCTCAAAAATCATTATTCCATATAGTCATTTATTGAACGATAAGTCCATGTAGTAATTATCATGACAGGCCTATTTCCACTGTCACCAACATACAGTGAACAGTGGCTTTCAAAATAATCACAAATACTTAGATAACAGTAGTTAATTAGATTTTTAGGGTGCGTTCACACTTAGTATCTAGACCACATAAAAACTGGGACTAAACTGGGACTAATTTTGGAACTAATCCTGAACTAGATCAGGACTACACCAGGACAAGAACCGGGCCAAACCAGGTCTACCATGGACAAACCAGGACCCAACAAGTGTGAACGCACCCTTAGTCATGTAACTGTACTTTTACTTGAGTATAAATTTCATTACTCTATCCAACCACTGCTTTCAGACACATTGTGCTCTTAAAATACTGAAACATGCACATACTTGTAGCCTTTTTTTTTTTTTTACTTTTCATGTTGGTGCAACACAAATGTGATTCTTAACAAACTGCTACCTGCTATATATTTTTTTCTTATATTTTTGTTTTGTTTTGGGCCTAATTGATGAGGAGTGAACTGTTTCCACAGTTACCAAATCGGCACTTTGAACTTCCAAACATCCGGTATGAGAGATGCACTGACTTCAGGCTTCGCTTTAGAAACTTGCTGCAAACAATATATCGACATAAATTAAAATGACTTGAATTCAGAATAATCCTAGTCTACTTTCTGTAATTAGGTGGTCTAGTTCTTGGGTGGTTTCAGCAATTTAATATTATTATTTTAGCGCTCTGAAAGGGGAGTGACATAGCACGGAGAGCAAAGGGGAGGGGGTGGCTCAGAGCACCCGATAGAACTTACTAAACATGTCAATAGGTTGTTTTTAGTGAATATAGCATTTTCAAAACAATAAAAGTAGCAAAGGAAGCAAACAATAAAAATACATTGATATTTTGAATTGCAAATTGTAACTTATGTCGAAATATGTGTTTTTGTAGTAGCTTTTTTTTTTTTTAACTATTGCTCAATCTTTTGTCTCTCCATGGATTTTCTTGTTTGTCACATTTGCTGGTACTAACTCTGCCATAGCCCGCTTTCTAACATTCTACGTCTTAACTTTTTTCTCCTTTTTGTAAGTAATAATGTGTATATTGTGTAAAACACCTTTTGTTTTTAGCGTGATAGTTAGCGAATGGTATCAGCTGTCTGTATTTTTTTTATTTTTGACCATACAATTAATACTTTACTCACTGACACACATCCACACATATTGTACAAAGGCTTTTATGAATGAAACAGTATTTTATATATAATAATAATAATAATAAATATATATTTGAAAACAAAGATAAATGATGGTATATAGATTTTATTTGGCTGTGGGACTATTTTTTATTTTTTTTAATTAATGACTGCATTCACCCACAAATACAGCTACTACTGAGCACTGACGGCCAATATCTTCAAATGTTTTTAACAACATTTTGTATTGTAGAATTAATGAATTTTTTTTTTTTTTTAATGGGAGTTGCATCTTTAGATAGTCTGATGATTGGGGAATGAGCTAAAGGATAAAAATCACTATTTGAAACGTGGGTAATTTGATGTCCACTGCTTTTACAATACCACTTGAATATAGCCAAATGGTACATTTGAGCCTATTGAAATGCATTGAACAAGACACACATTTGCTCTTGATGTACTGTAATTTGGAGCGGTTCTGGGGAGAATGTTACTTTTTTCCTGTGATTTTTTTATGAATTTGTCAACCTGGGGTGCGATAATGAAAAATGTGTATTAATTTTTTTGTTTTGTTTTGTTTTCAATGTTATGTTATCCAGAAGTTGTTATAAACTTTTAAGACTGAAATAAATACCATGTTCGAATGTCGTCTTCTCAAATGTGCCTCAAATATATTTAAAGTGGGACTAAACGCATAAACTCCGCCCACAACCACATTTCTAATAGGCCGTGATTCATTTCTCTTTCTTCGCTTCCTTCTCCTTGATTCCTTTCCTCGATCTTCCATTATTCAGCTGTCAATCAAATGTGTCATATTAAGTGGTGTCCCAAAGAAAACCGCGGAATGAAAGAGTAAACCTGAGGGAGGCTTCAGGAGACCAGCATCAGACAAAAGAATCAAACTTTATTGATCTCAGTGAGGAGTTTACATCCTCTCTCCTCGCTGTGTCTCCTTTGTGGGTAGGACTTCCTCACCCATTTCCTGCAGAATCAAGGAGGAGGAAGCGAGGAAAGAAAAATTAGACAAGGCCATAGAGCTGCTAAACTGGGCAGTACCTGGAGGATTAACGGGGAGAGTGAGTCAGTTTAGTGAAAAAGTGGATTCAGTGCTACTCTTTAAACATTTGATTAAAGTTTGGTGTAGCAGAGAGAAGCAGTAATATAGCGCTCTAAGAAATACTAGGTACTCGATGCAACTTTCTTGGTGAGGAGTTCAGTGCTTGCCTCCATGGTAATGTTATTGCTTTACCTGGAAATGTTTCACAGTGCAGCATTAAGTTGCATGTTAGATCAGTGAAAAGGCAAGCATACTTAGTTACAGCAAGAATGCACATATTTCAAGGCATTTCTAGCAATATAAACACCTCTTTTTGAATATGCAAGAAAGATTAAATGATTAAACTTTTCAGGCTTATTTTGCTTATTTCACTGGATTGTTGGTTTTCAAATGTTGTACCTTTTGGATTTGTGGCACATCAAAATACATCTTTATGCTAAAACTATCAAAACAGAAACAGAATTGCAGTTATTGTTATACATATATATATATATATTTTATGCAACAAAGGGGAGCTAATTTAATTAATACAAAGCACGCTTGGTATTTTGTTTGAGAGAGTCATACAAAAAACAAGGGGGGGGATAAGAAAAAAAATAATTAAAAGCTATGAAAAAAGAAGCAAGTTTGTGCTTATTTGAAATCATCAGTCAGCTTCACAATGTATTCTCTATGGAGTCCCTAAAGGGTCGTTATTGGTCTTGAAATAGGTAGTCAATACTCAATACCAAATAAGAATTAATAATAAAAAATAAAAAATAAAAAAAACACTTTCTTTAAACAATAGAACATAATTTTGAGCATTAAATCATAGTTTTTTTGTTTTATATTCCTGTGTGGCCTTATATCTCTGTACTCCCTCAGTTCTGCAGGTATGTTCCATAGTGGTCCATGGGCGTATACTAGTCTATGTGCTCTTATAATTGTTCTGATTCAGCTCAAGATCATTCTAAAGCTATTCAGGACAGGTTCATTTCTGTCTTCTGAGTGTGACTTATGAGCTGGACTGGTCAGACTTATGTAAAATAATGCAAATAATAAGAGACACTGAATGAACTCCGATCATGAGATATTGACATTTGCATAGTCGCTTGTTTCCTCAGCATCTGCAAAAAAAGGAAACATGTTTTAATACATTTAAAGGTCCTATATTAAGAAAAACTGACTCTTGTGAACTTACAGTATAGCCGTATTATAATGTTACCTCATCAAAACATACCTGAAGTTTTGTTTGTTTCATTCACACAGTTTGAGTAATCCTATTATTAGTCTGTTGACATCTCTCAGCTCAAAATACTCTGTTCCACCTTGTGATGTCATGAAGCAGGAGTTTTCAAGTTAACAAGTACCTTTTACCTTTAGTTTAGTAGAGATTTGCTATTCCAGGGCTGAAATCATCCAAATGATATTTGGTGAAGGTGTATGGAATTGAAAAACACAGTGGAGTGCTTCCAGTATTGCCACATGACATCACAAGGTGGAACAGAGTGTTTTCTGTATAACAGAAGAACTCAGCCTAAATATGCAGGATTTGTGTATGAATGAAACAAAACACAACTCCAGGTATGTTTGTAATGAGAAAACAACATTATAAATAGATGAGAAAATAGTGTAATACAGATCCTTTAAAGTTGACTGCATACTAATCCATACTGTACCTTTGCTGTTTGAGCCTCTGATAGGTTCATAGACATTAACATCACCTGCAGATAATGTTTAAAAAGTTAAATTATTACAACAGTTGTATAAAGTTGAATTTGAATTGTTTGTTTAGTTGAACTGACTGTGAAGAAGAGATGAATACAACTGCTGCTGATTGTCGGCAGGTGAATCCTCCGGGTCATTTTCAGCGTCACTTAAACATCAAGATTATGTTTACACGACAAGTCACGAGTTTGGACACACCTTCTCATTCACTGTATGTTTTTTTTGTTTACTTCTTTCTATATTTTCTACATATAGAAGACATCAAATATATGATACAAACATGATATATGGAATTGGAGGAAAGGAAAAAAGTGTTTTAACTCAATTAAATATGTTTTTCATCATCACTATTTTTTTTTATATATATAGCACTTTTCTAAACACTCAAAGACGCTATACAGAGAATACAATTAAAAAGAGTATTCTATTCAAATCCTCAAAGTATCCATCCTTTACTTTGTTGACAGTGCTGCAAACCCCTGGCCTTCTCTCAGTGATGATAAAGTCTCCTGAAATGGTTTTCACTTCAAGCTGTGTCATATCAAGGTCAAGAAATGCTAAAAATGCAAAGCAGTGATCAAAGAAAAGGGTGGCTATTTTAAAAATCTAAAACAAGTTTGGAGTTACTTTGAGTTTATTTTTTGTTTCCTCCATTCTGTATGTGAGAATCTACAGGTGAATAATCATAGAAATAAGGAAACATGAATGAAAAAGTGTGTCCAAACTTTTGATTGGTAGTCTAAATAAAACTCTTTATGATACAAACCACTAACTTAAAATGATCTGAATAAGACCCACCTGTTCTGGCATCTTTCTGTAAAAAATAAAAAGATACTGAAAAACACTGAAACGTTCTTCTTGTGATTTAGTGCTGAAATCTTACCTGTAGTTTTTTTGTACCAACAGACGACTATCAGGGTGAGAAGAATGACAGCACACACCAGGCCAGCAATAATAATAGGCCCATTAGAATTGACTAAAAAGACAAAAAGTGAGTATTGTTTTACCTGGAAGTCTAAGATATTTTTTCTATATATACACTAACAACCATTATATTTACATGAGTAACTTTTTTAAAGAAATTGTACTGTTCAGAGTGCTTTAATGTCTAGCAGCATACTTTGACTCCTAACTGAGTAATATTTTTTGTTGAAATAACTGTACTTTGAATGAATGAAATGTTTCTCTGCCCACTGAGAGTAATTTGTCTCATTTTGTGTCTATCCTTTGAAAATAACAGAATTTGTGCAATATTTAATATTTTGTTCATACAATTAGGTTAACTTCAAATTATAAATTAGATATTATGTCCAGACAGTTGATCTACTTTCGAGTAGTATTTTTCCTAAATACTTTCTTGAACCACTACTTTGTACTTCTACCTGAGTTGAATGTTATTGTGAAGCAACGTTACTCTTACATGACTACATTTTTAGCTACTGTATCCACCTCTGGTAACAACTACTACAACAACAACTACTACTACAACAACTACTAACCTGTATCATTGCCTTTGGTTGATTGGCAGTTGATGCTCTTGCTCTCTGACACCTCACTGACCATATTAGACACAGTACATATAACGGTAATGGTGCCATCTTGTGATGTAAGAGGGTACTCCAGCATGGGTCCATTGTAGTTCCTGTTGTTCACTGTCCACCTGTAGCTCACGTCTTTGTGAAATTCTGAGCTGCACTGTGTCAGAACTACACAGGAGCTGTTTGTGGTTTGGGTGATGTTGATGACAGTCACAGTGGGTGTCAACGTCAGGACTTCTGCAAAATTCAAAATATTTACAGTTAGAGTGATTATGTATCTATAACCTGCTGTCAACTGTCTGATATTTAAATATAGATTTATTTGAGCACAACTTGGCTAATTCACAATGAATGGAGCAGGAAGTGCGACTGCAGTTTTGAGAGACGTGGAACTAGCCAGGCAGCCGGGGCCTATTACTGCCAAATATCATATACAAAACAAAATGGAGTCAAAATGAACCAAATAGTCACAATTATTATAATGAAATACAACATTTTTTTTCCAAACAATAAAACAGGCCAAAAAACAAAAAAGCTATTAAAATATACAATATCTATAGAAAATACTTACAACAATATCACTCTCCACTACATTTCATGTTACAATTTATCTTATTTGGTTAAGTATGCATGAGTTTTTGTTTTGTTTTGTTTTTTGTTTTTATGCTCTCTTGTGTAGTTGACTCCATATCACCCCAGGTATCATATGTGTTATTTATGTGATTTTGTGGGTCTTTGATGTCCCTGTATTTGAACATGTTGAATAAAAAAAAGGCAAAACAAAAAAACAAAAAACAAACAAAAACAAAACAACAACAACAACAACAACAAAAAATCCACTAGGACAACATTTTTAAACAGGGTCATTTACAGTAGTTTATGACTCAGTTTCAAGAACAGGACCATGGCCATTTAAAATAAAGAGGAAATAAATCCACTTTCTCGGCTAAACTGTGTATCATAGACTGTATTTGGTGTTATCTGTTCCTTGGGATTTTTAGCAACTTAAGTGCCAACTAAATAAATTTGCAACTTTCTGTTCGAAAATGGCTGCAGGGGCAGAGTTTGTGGATACCTGTTTGACCAATCACAGTGCTCCTTATACCTCCAAACCCCACCCCTCCTCATCCTAGTCACTCTCCCCTGCCCCAGTTTAGCAGCTCTATTAGAAATGTGGTTGTGGGCGGAGTCCCTCTGTAAAGAGACGCAAAACTGACTTTTGTGAGTCGTGGTATAACTGGAGTTGTGTTTTATTTCATTTACATGTTTTAGTAAACCTTTATCATTAGTCTGTCTACAGATCCAAAACTCAAAATGCTCTGTTCCACTTCCACCCTATGATGTCACGTAGTGGTAGTTTTCAAGTTAACAGCTTTAACCTTCTACTTTTTTGTTCAGTAAAGATTGGCAATTCCAGGGCTGAAATTATCCAGATGATTCTAGTGAAGGGGTATGAAGTTTAAAAACACAGTGGAGCCCTTCCTGTATTACCGCATGACATCACAAGGTGCAATAGAGTGTTTTCTGTTTAAGAGAAGAATTCTGCCTGAAAATGCAGGATTTTGTAAAAACTAAACTCCAGGTACGTTTGTGTTGAGGAAACAACAGTAGATCAGAAAACAGTGTAATATGGGTCCTTTAAGTATTACAGTAATTTGTAATAGGTCATATGAATAAACATAGCTGTAGTCTCACCTTGTACCACTAGTTTGATGCAGTATGTGGGTCTTTGTCCTGATGTTCCCTGTGAGATAAAAGTAAAATCCCCAGAGTCTGTGGTCTTCAGCTCTTTTAATGTTAAACTGTAATTTGTTTTGTCCATTGTCTCTCGGCCAGAAAACTGATGTCCAGTAATATCTGCTTTTGAGTCTGCAATTTTATTTTTCATTATATTTCCACTGCGCCTTAGTGATTGTTTCTTTGATTGGTCCTGGAGACAGCACAATGTTTCCTCCCTCTCGTCCATACTCTGTTTGACAACTGGAAACCTCAAGAGCTGAAACAAATCAAATGAAATGGGGGGTCAAAAAGTCTTAGTATTTTAGAATAAAAATACATTAGCCACAGAAGAAAAATATATGCAAATAATATGCCAAATGCCAATGCTTTTCTAATATAATGTATAATATTAGCTGTGATTAAAAAAAAGAAAAAAAAAAAAATATGAAGTCAATCACAAATTTGAAACAGCTCAGTCAAAACAAAGAAGCGAGTAAAAATTGTTATAAGAGGATCCATGCAGAAGTAATTAAGCCAAGAACTATACTCAAGTAAAAGGAATGTTACTTCAGAATAATATGTCTTAAGTAAAAGCACAAAGTAGTGGTCCAAGCAATTACTCAAGTAAGAGTAAGTAACTGTAGGGATGTAAGCTCTGATTTATAATTTGGAATTGAAAATGACAGATTTTGTGCATTATTTAAAGCACAAACACAAACATGAGAAAAAAAAATCATATTTGAAGGAACGGTGCAAGAAACATAAAACATCAAATCATTTTTTATTGTCAAGATAAAGCTTTTGTCACTTACTCACAGTGGGAAGAGGAACCACAACTTTTACTCAAGTAAGAGTACTATTACTTCATTTAAAATATTGCTCAAGTAGAAGTAAAAATATTCTGCTAGAAAAGTGCAAATTCTTACTCAAGTAAATGTACAACTGATCTCTGCTACTATCCCATTATTTTCTACAAAGTGAAATTTGCTATTTAAAGGTGCATTGTGTAACTTTTCTTGGGCTTGAGTACGACATTAAACTTATCTGTCTGCACGGATGCAAACAGGCCAAGGTACAGATCATATCAGTGGAGACGCGAGCTCATTTACACAAGAATTTCTGAACATTAAAATCACTTCAAGGCTGAATAGAGTTTTAATGCCATACTGTGGAACATATCAAACAACGCAACAGCAGTACCCTCCACCAGAAAAGTTACACAATGCACCTTTAAGCGGCTTATAATTAACTAAGTTAATATTTTTAAAAGATAACATACTGTGACTCGGGACTCCAAGAAGCAACAGAGGTTTAAGTGTGAAGAAAACACAGAACAAAATGGGACGATCTCTGGACATGGCTGAATCTACTTCTTTCCTCGTGTGACCCTGTGAGAGACAAGTGCAGGACAGTGACAAATGACCGTCCTATTATTTAACAAGAGAAGTACAACCCAGTGTGTTAATATGTGTACAAAACCCCATCCTGTAGTTTAATAGCAGACTCACATACCTTAAACAGCCTATATTACTGTATTATTTTCTGATCTGTGTTATAATATGGCAAAGTTATAATATTGTTTCCTCATCAAAAACATACCCAGAGTTGTGTTTTGTCAGTGTAAATATTAGAATTACTTTCACACTAACCTTCTACATAATCTAAAATGACACAAATATTTTTTGTTCAGTAAAAATAAATTCCAGGGCTGAAATTATCCAAATGATTTTAGTGTGTATGAAGTTTAAAAACACAGTGCAGCACTTCCTGTTTTACAAGATACAGACACATATCTCATCCAGTATCCAGTGTGAGGTATGTGCAAGAAAAACACATCCTGTAGTTTAAAAGCACATTCACATCACTTTAAAGGCCTTATACTAGTATTAAAGTATTTTCTGATCTGTGTTATAATATGGCAAAGTTATCATATTGTTTCCTCATCAAAAACATACCCAGAGTTGTGTTTTTGTCAGTGTAAATGTTAGAATTACTTTCATACTAACCTTTCTACATAATCTAAAATGACACAAAAGAGAATATCACAAATTCAAAACAAAAATGAGTTGAGATGAAGGGAGCATTCTGACCAGACGATGGCGCTGTGTGACAGTAAACAGTACAAAAGTGTGATCAACTTTTAAATAGACTTTATTAAACAAGAAAACAAGTGCAAACTGGGTACATTTACAACTGTCTGGTCAAAAACACCTACATCTAGTTTTCCAGTAGTTTTCAAGTGAACAGTTACCTTTTTACTTTTTGCTTAGTAATGATTGGTAAATCCAGGGCTGAAATTATCCAAATGATTCTAGTGTGTATGAAGTTTACAAAATGCAGTGGAGCACTTCCTGTATTACCAGATACAGACACATATCTCATCCAGTATCCAGTGTGAGGCATGTGCAAGAACAAAACCACATCCTGTAGTTTAAAAGCACATTCACATCACTTTAAAGGCATTATACTAGTATTAAAGTATTTTCTGATCTGTGTTATAATAAGGCAAAACTTGTTTCCTCATCAAAAACATACCCAGAGTTGTGTTTTGTCAGTGTAAATGTAAGAATTGCTTTCATACATAATCTAAAACGACCACAAATTCAAAGCAAAAAATGAGTTGTGATGAAGGGAGCAATCTGACCAGAAGATGGCGCTGTGTGACAATAACAGTACAAAAGCATGATACACTTTATAAATACTTTATTGTACAAGGAAGCAAGTGCAAACTATGTTGAATGAAAAAATATAAAAAATATATAAGCTGATCATCAGAAGTCTTACATTCACATGTTATAATTTTTACATGAGCTGATTTTATTTCTTTTAGAGACACTTCAGAGTTTTATTTTTTAAAGAATATTGCATAGAAAAGTAAATTAGCATTTTTGTTCATTATAATTAACACTACAAAATGTTATTTGTCATTTGTCAAATGCTTGTCTCTATGGAGATGCTATTGCTTTGTCTGACATGTTTCACAGTAATGGCATTAAACCTTTCTTCATGGACACCAAACCAGACCAAGTTACAGGTCAGATCTGTGAAGAGGCGACCTCTCACAGCCAGAATGTGTTTGTTTGGTTGTTTTTTAGGTATTTTTGAGCTATGAAACCATCTGTAATTTAATAAATGTAAGGTAGAACTGTTTAATATCATAATGTGGAACAATCCAGACAAAGCAATGACATATCCATAGAAACAAGTAGGTGACTGGCCCCCAACCAAAAAGTTACATAGTGCACCTTTAATATCTGAAATGCTCAATGCAATAAAATGTCTGTCAGTAAAGCTTCAAGCATATAAGTTTGGTCAGCAAAAAACAAAAAAACAATTGGATCTAGATGGATATTTTAGATGTTTAGTTCTGATTTAGTTCTAGTTTAGTTTCAATGTAATCGCAGTTCAGTCCTGATTTGTTCTGGTTTAGTCCTGATATAGACCTGGTCAGTCCTGTTTTAGTTCCGGTATAGTCCTTGTTTAGTCATGGTTTAGTCCTGATTAAGTCTTGCAGTAAATAAGGGTGAAGTCCTGGTTTGGTTAGGCCGGACTCTGATCTCTGTGCCGGTTCTTGCATCGCTGTGTCTCTGCATCCTCTCCTCAGCTCTGGCAGCTGGATCTAAAAAACAGAAATAATCATATAACATCAAGAATATTCCAAATTAAACACATTTTAAGTTATTACATTATACATTACTTATAAATGACTCTGGTCAATTGGTATAAAAAAATACTTCTATATCAGGCATTTTTATGGCATTTAATTTATTTATTGAATTAGGGGAGTTTTTTGTTGTTTCACAAAGATCACAAAGTTTATTTGTATTGGAAAATTCATATTCTATACTAGAAAACATAACATGGACCTAACACAATAAGATTAAAAAGATGCATAAAAAAGTATTGGAACTTTGCAACTGTTTGGATTTTAGTTTTGTACAAATATGACACTAGCTCTGTTATAGTTACATTCTGGTTCAGTCCTGGTGTGGTCCTGGTCTGATCCTCGTCTAGTCCTGGTCTAGTCCTGGTGCAGTCCTGGTGTAGTCCTGGTCTAGTCCTGGTCTAGTCCTGGTGCAGTCCTGGTGTAGTCCTGGTGTAGTTCTGGTCTAGTCCTGGTCTAGTCCTGGTCTAGTCTTGGTCTAGTCAGTCTGGTGTAGTCCTGTGTAGTTCTGGTCTAGTCCTGGTCTAGTCCTGGTGCAGTCCTGGTGTAGTCCTGGTGTAGTTCTGGTCTAGTCTGGTCTAGTCCTGGTCTAGTCCTGGTCTAGTCTTGGTCTAATCCTGTCTAGTCTTGGTCTAGTCCTGGTCTAGTCTAGTCTGGTCTAGTCTGGTCTAGTCCTGGTCTAGTCCTGGTCTAGTCTGGTCTAGTCCTGGTCTAGTCTTGGTCTAGTCCTTGTCTGGTCTAGTCCTGGTCTATGTCTGTCTAGTCTGTATGGTCTGGTACTGGTCTGATAGTGGTCTACTCCTGGCTTGGTTTTTGGTGTAATCCTGGCCTAGTCCTGGTTTGATCCTGCTCTAGTCCTGGTCTAGTCCTGGTCTAATCCTGGTCTAGTCCTGGTCTGATCCTGCTCTAGTCCTGGTCTAGTCACGGTCTGGTACTGGTCTGATAGGGGTCTAGTCCTGGCTTGGTTTTGGTGTGGTACTGATCTCTACTCCTGGTCTAGCCCTGGTCTAGTCCTGGTCTAGTCCTGGTCTGATCCTGCTCTAGTCCTGGTCTAATCCTGTCTAGTCCTGGTCTAGTCCTGGTCTAGTCTGGTCTGATCCTTCTAGTCCTGGTCTAGTCCTGGTCTACTCCTGCTCTAGTCCTGGTGTGGTCCTGGTCTTGTCCTGGTGCGGTCCTGGTCTAGTCCTGGTCTAGTCCTGGTCTAGTCCTGGTCTTACCTTTGGTCTGGCTGATGGTGATGGTGGAGTAGCAGACAGTGGTATACAAAGAGCTCTCATCAAAATCTGAAAAATCAAGAAGTTGAATTTGTAAATATTAAAATACAAGTCCATGTTTGTAGTATTTCAGATGTAAAGTGCAGATGTTCCTTTTTTCTCAGATGGAGCAGAAGATCACAGGATCAAACCTCACTCGGCTTTGATGACATGTTTTATTTTTTATTTTACATTTCACATGTTAAGAGTGAGATCATAAAAGTGGGTGTTAAGAGGACATTCAAGTTAGTTTCAGGGTGCTATATGAGTGCCATGAATAGTGGTATAAGCCTACATGTTCCTATAGCACTTCATGCACGTTGCAGGAAAGAAAACCACAGTGTCAAAGTCTCTAGCACGAGAGGAAATAAGTGAACGGTCAGTGAAATGTGAAACAATCAGAAAAAAAACACAACTTCAAACTGGTTTTACACAGAGTAGCACAGACACACACAGCAGTGACATTTATAAACCACAGCCTGTTCTGCTGTCACCTGGGCTCAGCCTGTGTGGTCACTGACTAACAATAGTAAGTGATATGATGCTTATGTTTTGCTCTTTATGAGTATTTTATCTTGTGAGGAAAATATTTTATGTCTTGTATTTATGTAAATTAATGTTCTTTTTTATTGTTCATATTTTTGCTGAAAAAGACTCAAGTAGCAATTCTCAACCTCAGAGCTCCAAAACCAGACTTTGAAAAACTCACCGTCCAAGGAACACATCTATGCATTTCCCATAAAGCAACACCTGAAATTGAAGTTTCCAAAGTCAGTGATGATTTGAGCTGCCATGTTATCTGCTGGTTTTGGTCCACTGTGTTTTCTGAAGTCCACAGTCAACGCAACCATCTACCAGGACATTTTAAAGCATTACAAGCTTCTTTATTCTTACAAGCTTTATGGAGATGCTAATTTCATTTTCCTGTAGGACTTGGCACCTGCCCACACAGCCAAAGGTGACCACTGACCATGGTGTTACTGTGTTTGATTGGCCTGAAAACTCACCTGACCTGAATCTCATGGAGAATTTCTGGGATATTGTCAAGAGAAAGATGAGAGACACAAAAAACAACAATGTAGATGAGCTGAAGGCCACTATCAAAGCAACCTGAGCTTCCATTACACCTGAGCAGTGCCACAGGGAGACCTCCTCCATGCCACAGAGCATTGATACAGTAATTCATGCCAAAATCCCAACTGAATACTGAGTGTACAGAAATGAACTTACTTTCATTTTCTTTTTTTTTTTTAAATTTATCTTTAATTTAATTTTCTGAGACACCAAATTTTGTCTGTAAGTCATAATCATCAAAATGTCAAGATATATAGAGGCTTGAAAGCTGCACTCTATGCATCACAAGTCTATATAATATGTGGGTTTAACTTTCTAAAGTGAGTGGCAAAAAATATTGAACTTTTTCATAATATTCACATATTTTGAGATGTACTAAGTAAGTAAGTAAGTAAGTCTTTATTTATATCATGCTTTTCACAGACATTTTGTCACAAAGACGCTTTACAGAGCATTATTCAGCATTATCCATTCACTCTATACCCGGTGATGGTAAGCTACTATTGAAGCCACAGCTGCCCTGGGGCAGACTGAAGAGCAGCTGCCATGCCAATCAGTACCATCAGTCCCTCTGACCACCACTATCACTTACGCACACACCACTTCCATACTAGGCAATGTGGGTGAAGTGTCTTGCCTAAGGACACAATGACAGTTTTGTGATGGCGCCCCACTGTGGCACCTGATTTTCCAAGTGGTCTCCCATCCAAGTACTAACCAGGCCCAACCTTGCTCAGTTTCTGAGAACTGACAGGATCAGGCTTTGACAAGCCGGTATGGCCACTAGTACTAGTATATTTTAGCACAACTGAAATCAAAAATACATTTTATGTTGACTAAAACTATCCTGAATTTACAGCTGACTAATTGAGCATGGTATTTACATTTGAAGTAGTTAAAGTAATATTTGTGTTTCAAAAGGAGTTAAGTTTATATCTTATGATCAGTAGAATTCATACCTGTGCGTCTGATCGTCCTCCTCTGCTGCTGGGGTAATATGTGGCTGTTTAATCCATTCTCCTCTGGACAGGTTTCCAAACACCAACAAAGAAATTATTGTGAATGATGAGACATTAAGAATGATTCAGACTTTGAAACTACATAAAAGAAAAAATGAGAGAGAAAATGAGTAATCCTTCATTGGTCCAGGAGTGGTTCAGTGTACAGAAGGTTTTAGAAGTGGTCTGGAAAAGCCATTTTCATCACATGATAAGAGAGAATCACAGAGACCATGAACTGAGATGAAAGAGCATTCCTCTTTTCACACACAAAAAAAAACTAGAGACACTGACCTGTGTGTCTCTGGCACCGTCTCACCACCAGGACCAGCAGAACCAGGAGGATCAGGACTGAGCCGGTGATCAAACCCAGCACCAGAGACGAGGAGCCCAGAGGAGAGACAGGAGACTGGGCTGAAGGCTGCACTGATGGAGGGGGGCTGCTCACATGGACTTTCTCATCTACAAACATGCAAGGTCCAGTCAGATCAGAGGAACCAGAGACATCAACCAATCAGAGAAAAACAAAAACAGTTGAACCTGCTCTGACCCGGAGTCGACTGGGCAGTGACTTCTCTCCTCTCATCTCACACTGGTACAGGCCTTCATCAAACATTGCCACCTGCTGGAGGGTCATGTGACCTGCGGGCTGCTCCGACAGGAAGTGTTCATCTCTATAGAAACGGGCTGGGAGGGCGTGGTCAGTGTGATGTCGACAGGTCAGATTGACAGTTTGTCCCACAGACACAGGGAGCACAGGCACCTGCAGAATCACGCCCCTGTCTGAGAGAGAACATGAAACTCATTTCAGACGTTTGTATCTGGTCATTACACAAAGCTCATGACCATGGGGGAGAGTAGGAACGTAGCTCTAAACCAGGACTAAACCAGGACTAGACCAAGACTAGACCAGGACAAAGGGACCATATGTGAGAGTGCGAACATAGATCGACCAATTAATTAAGAGCTTTACATTTGCAAACGGCAGAAATGAGATCCTTTGGTCACCAAAACAAACGCCCTTTGACCCCTGACACTGCCTAGAAATTTTGTCCAGAACCGGTAACAAAGGGCAATCCTGGGGCAATCCAACATATGCTGGGAACAGGTCTGACTTACTGCTGTCAATGAACACAGCTCCTGCTCCGGTCATACAGGGACCAGACCTGAGTAAAGGACCCCATACTCCAACAGCGCCCCCCAAAGGAACAACACTGAATAATATTTTTGGTGATTCTTGAGACATTTTAGAGAGGA